AATCTAACTGGAATCTAATTTCTTTGTGATCGCTGTTTGCAAGTTCGTTCTCTACCTCGACATTGCTAATGATGTTATCTCTGTTTGACAGAACTAAATCGAGTATATTATTACCCCGGGTGGGTTCGGTTATAAGTTGACTTAGAAAACAGTCCTGGATCGTCTCGAGAAAATCCTGTGATTCTGAGTTACCTGTAAGGTCAGTCCAATCTATTTGGCCAAGGTTAAAGTCGCCTACTATACAGACTTTGTTGTGTATGGAAGCCCTGCGCATTTCATCCCAGATAAGTCGCTCATTGACTCTATCAAGATTGGGAGGTCTATATATTACTCCTGTGATTAATTTTTCCCTACCGTCGATTAATTCTATCCAAATTGTTTCTGTATTCTGCTCAGTTTTTATTTCCTTATTTATTTCACACTTCAGATTATCCCTAACATAGATTGCTACTCCGCCTCCTTTCCTGGTCTGCCTATCGGTATGGAACAGTTTGTAACCCGCAATTTGGTATTCGACTGGTAACTCACGTGTGTCTTGGTTGATCCATGTTTCAGTGAATGCTATTATATCGATTTTTTCGGTACATACCAAGACCCTAATATCATCCATTTTGTTTCTCATACTTCTACTGTTCGCGTAGTATACATTTAAGTTAGACGTGTCCTGAGTCCTCCCTTTACCGCGTTTAGTTTTAAACTCCCTGTCTAATTTAGTTTTGTCATCATTCCTAACACTATTTCCCTGTAATCTTTCACTTTGTTTACCCGCTTCCACTGCAGTCTCCTCCACCCCCGTGCTCATATGTTCCCCTAGCAGTTCACAGACTTCGATATCTTTTGAACTGCCCCCTCTAGAGCTCCAGCCAGGGTTGCTACTCCATCCCTAGACAGGTGCACCCCATCCCTAGCATAAAGGTCCCTTCTGCCATAGAAGTTGTCCCAGTTGTCAATGAATGTGACTGATATTGACTTGCAATATCTGCCAAGACAGTCGTTGACACCAACTGCCCTTGACAAGCATTCACTGCGAACTCTCCTTCTAGGCAGGACACCGCATGTGATAGGGATCCCTCCCTTAGTCCTAATACGATCTATAGCTGCCTTGAACTTATCAAGAAGCTCCTCGCTCGCTTAGTTATATTCTATTCAATGGATTAACTTGGGAAAACCATATAATTCTTTAACATCACTTGGTCAAAATATACTTACTAGGTAGATTGCCACCACCCAGGCTTTTGTTAGAATATAACTAGGGGACTCAATAAAGAAGTTACACCTACTTGTTTTATGGGTTATTGAGTGTAAAATGAATCGTCAGATTTACGTTAACTAACATGTACGACCGTAATTGATTGTTGTACAACTGTATGAATATGAATATTGCGAACATTTGTAGTTTATTCCTGGCAACGTGATCTTAACTTTCGACCTTATATCGACGCAAACATCTGTAACAAACTCCATAACGCTTAAAAATTACTTGTACATAAATTTTCAAAATGTTCAGAGTTAAGTTTACTAGTTATCCGATCATCACATCACAACTTAGGTTCTTACTCGAAAACAAAAATGTGATTCATAAGAATATCGTCCCAGATATTGAAGTTGTTGAATTATATGAAAATAACTGAATTCCTTTTGTCATCAGTAACTTTAACTTTAATAGGAAATTTTCTCTCTCTTATGGAAAGATTCTTCTTCGTGTACACCAAGCAGGAAACTTAACCTGTGATCCGAAAACAAAAGTTCCTTGATAAGAGATAGGAGTTTGAAACACTACTGAAGGTACGCCAACCCGATGTTGTAGGAGTTGTAGAACTGTTTTACAAGAACAAGAGAATCGACCCAGAGGAATGTGAGTTTATTATTGCTGGATATGACTCATTTACGAACCTTTCTCAAGAAACCTGTAAGAGGGGTGTGGTTATCTATGCTAGGCAAGACCTTAGAGCCAGCCAGGCGAAGGTACAGGGAGAGGATGTTTTCGAAGAGTCCAAGTGGTTTAAAATTAAATTAAAGGGAGGTGACTTACCTATTGTCAGGTGTATCTACAAATACCCAAACTGTGGCCCACTAAATCAAAGGAACTTAAGAGCCTTAATAGACAAAGCAGCGATGCTCAACCCTAGCCACCTTCTTATCATGGGGGACTTTAACTATGGCGACATCGACTGGAGAACGAGTTCACCCCAAATGACTTGCATAACCCTGCTACTCTTTTTGTAGAAGCTCTGAGAGATAATATTTTGTTCCAACATGTTTGAGACCCGACACATTACAGAGGGGAGCAAACATCCAAGCCACTAGACCTCTTCATAACAAACGAGGAAGGTATGGTGGCTAAACTGGAACATCTTGCCCCAGTTGGCACCAGTCACCATGTAGTGCTGTCATTCAGATTTAAATGTTACCTAGTTCAAGATAAAGCCAGGCCAAGGTGCAAATATTACAAAGGAAATTACAACGGAATGAGGGTAGAGATGAGGGGTATCCACTGGCCTGACTCATTAAGGCACAAAAACGCAGACACTACGCTGAATATCGTAACTAGTAAAGTGACCTATTTGATCGCTAAATATATACACAAGACCAAACCCAGTGCCTCTAGGAATACGAGGGGATCCCTACACATGAACCATGCGGCGATCGACAAAGTTAAGAAGAAAACCCAGAAATTCAAGACGAGGGTTGGGTCAAATGATGAGCAGGACAGGAGGATGTATGCAAGAGCCAGAAACCAAGCAAAGGCAAAGTGTCGAAGGGCTGATGAAAAGGAGTTCCAGAGGCTGGTTGCAAGCGAGGTCAAGTCAAACCCAAAGGCGTTGTACCGCTATGCAAAGTCGAAATTAAAATCGCGAGTAGGAGTATCAGACCTGAGGCTTGAAGATGGTAGTTATGCAGATTCTGACCAGGGTAAAGCTGAAACATTGAACAGCTTCTTTTCCTCGATGTTCACAAGAGAGGATGCGATTAACCTTCCTGCGTTTGAGGACAGACGGTTCGACACAGCACTAACCCACATTGTGTTCACAGAAGATAGTAAAAGAAATAAACTGTCAAAGCTAAAGGTCCATAAGAGTCCCGGCCCTAACATGGTGCATCCCAGAGTGCTAAGAGAGTTGTACAACGAGCTTGCCGAGCCCCTGAAGATCCTGTTATGCAAATGCCTGGATGAACAAAAGGTCCCCAGTGATTGGAAAATTGCTTATGTGAGTCCTATCTTTAAGAAGGACGATCATCACTCCACTAATAACTATAGCCCGGTGAGCCTGACCAGCATAATATGTAAAGTACTTGAAAGTATTATCAGAGAGGCCGCGATGGAACATCTACTACGAAACAACCTTGTAAAGGATTGCCAACACGGTTTTATGCAGGGGAACTCCTGCTAAACACAATTGCTCAAGGTATTGAATATTTGGATCCATATTCTGGAACGGGGTGGTAATATCGACAATATATACCGAGATTTTGCCAAGGCTTTCGACATGGTACCCCACGAAAGGCTGAAAATCAAACTGGAAGGGTACGGAATTCGGGGAAATGTCCTAGCGTGGATAGAAGACTTTCTACATGACCGCAAGCAGTGTGTGGTGATTAATGGCACGAAATCATCATCTGTACCTGTCACAAGCGGGGTATCACAGGGCAGTGTATTGGGCCTGCTGTTATTTGTTTGTTTCATAAATGACATGCCTGATTTTGTACACTCCTCCATACAAATGTTTGCGGATGACGCTAAGCTATTTCGGGAAATCAAGAACCAAGCGAACTGTGAAGAGCTGCAGAAGGATCTCTGTGAGCTTCAAGAATGGTCGAAGAAATAGTTGCTGAGATTCAATGTCACGAAGTGTAAGAGGATGCACCTAGGGCGTACCAACGGTAAGGAGGCGTATCATATGTCCCAACGGGATGAAGAAACTGCACTATTTGAGACTGAATGTGAGAAGGACCTAGGTGGGTATGTTGACAATGAGCTGAAGTTCTCGGGCCATTGCGAGAAGAAGGTAAATCGGGCAAATAAATTATTAGGTCTTATAAGAAGGTCGTTCAGATATCTAGACGGTCCGTCCCTCGTAATGATCTTCAAGAATGAAGTGCTTACCCCTCTGGAGTACTGTCACCCCATCTGGTCCCCGAAATATACTAGGGACTGTCAGTTGGTTGAAAATGTTCAAAGGAGGGCCACCAGACTGGTGCCTGCGCTTCGGTACCTCAACTACCCTGAGAGATTTGAGCGCCTGAACTTACATAGCATATATTACAGACGGGCAAGGGGCGACCTAACTGACGTGTATAAGCATCTCAAGTGCACTACTCAGTCGAGTGTCCTTAATTGGAGCTGGCGGACGCTCGCTCCACAAGAGGTCACAGCTCAAGATTGAAGTAGCCGCGGGTCCAGAAAACTGTGAGGGCAAACTTTTTCGGAGTGAAAGTTGTGAACTCTTGGAACAATCTGCCAGAAAGTGTTGTGACGGCACCGAGTGTAAGCTCTTTCAAGACCAGACTTGACCAACACTGGAGCAGGTTCAGGTACATTCAGGAGCCGGTGCATGTCCAGTACTTGCCAATAGTGTGTAACAGAGACGTGACTGATCGCCCAAGCGGCTAACGAGCTGATCAGTAGTGAAGAGGAGAGAAGTAAAAGTAAAAGTAAAGTATGAGTCACATTCGAGGCCTGAGTCTACATTGAGTTATGAGTCTACATCTGAGTTATGAGTCTACATCTGAGTTTTCAGTCTACATCTGAGTTATGAGTCTACATTGAGTTTTGAGTCTACATCTGAGTTATGAGTCTATATCTGAGTTATGAATCTACATCTGAGTTATGAGTCTACATATGTTGTGAATCAGTTGTATAGTGATGATGATGTATAATTTATGTATTAAGACTGTAGTGGTGATGGTGCAAATAATAGCTTGGATATGGTGCTAATGTTATAGTGCTGATGCTACGACATAGTGAGTTTGTTAATGGTGATGATGAGGTGTGTCAACAGGTGTGTGACAGGTGGTACTGTGCCAATACTAACCCAGTTGATCGTACAGTGCCAAGGTGCCAACCAGATCGACATCCAACCAGTGGTGAGTTCCTCTGAAGTAACACTACTAAAATCTGTTTAACTAGTACAAAATGTATCTAACAACAATAAACTGTTTTAACTTCTTCTGATCGTGGACCTTATAGGTCTGACGTCCCTTGGCTCAAAAAAAGTTACCATTAGGACAGGAGGCGAACGCTGTATCCACTCGGCCAGCGTACCTCTTTTAACTCTAATAGATTGTCTTTAATTTATGAAACTAAATTTCACAACAATGGACTATAGATTTAGCTATGATAATGTTTCTTCTCTAAAATAAAACAAAAAACTAATGTTTTGAAAGCGTTGCATTAGTCCCATTACCTGTACATTGTATTTTTAAATATCTCGTTATAAATCTTTCTTACTATGAGAATAATATATAATTAGTTGTGTTTGCATGTTTCTGTGTGTGTGATAAGTTGCCATTTTCACTTCAATTCACATATAGAATTGTGGTATCCTGGTGACAAATTATTCTTCATTTATAAATTCATTTTTGCATATAACTACTGCATGCTTACATTCATGTATATAAAATATTTGCAGCATCGTTGACATTCATGCAAATAATGTATTTTAATATGCCTGCAAATGGTCTATCATGTTGACAGTCACTCTTGTAAATTATTGTTCATGTTTACACCCATTTCTGTACATGACTTACGCCCGCAGACGAACCTGGGATCGGTGTTATTACCTGGTGAGGACGGGGGAGCGGGCGTGTACAGGTGCGGTACTTCAGGGTCCTGGGAGCCACTCTTCGGTTCACCTTTCCTCAATGAGCTGACAAAATCCTGTACCAACGCAGGTGAGAATGAGATTGAGTGAAAGATACCAATTACTAACCATGAATTCCCACCTTCCGATTATCTGTCCCTATCTTAGTGACTACCTACATCCATCTATACTGACTAATTATTTTCATCTCCTGAATATATACCCATATCTTTACCTGCCGGCCACCTGTCCGCCCCTGCAACTATCCCCCCAAATTTATCACCTGTTCCCACCTTCAGGACACTTAACTAGACTTAGTCATCATTTCACCGTCCCTACCAACTATCTATCCCGGTCTTTGAACTATCTAACCCACCTCCTGACCACATATACACACCTACGCTACTCACTATCTATCTCCCAAATATTAACCAGCTGACCTTCCATACCAACCACCTATCCCTACACTAACCTATCCTCACTCTCTAACGACCTATCCCCATTCTTTAACAACTTAACCCCACTCTCTAACAACCTATCCCCACTCTAACCACCTAACTCCACTCTAACCACCTAACCCCACTCTCTAAACCACTTAACCCTATCCTTTAACCATCTATCCCACAACCTACCTATCCCTACTCTCTAACCACTTAACCCTATCCTTTAACCATCTATCCCTCTACCTACCTATCCCCACTCTACATATTCCCACTCATTAATCACCTATCCCCACTCTCTAACTACCTATCCCCGCTTTCTAACCAAAACTTTCAATATCAATACCTATCCCCTCTCTCTAATCCCCTAACTCCAGTCTAACCACCCAACCCCACTCTAACCCTCTATTCCCAATCACTACCTATCCCCGCTCACTAACCACCTATTCCCGGCAGGTTGTGGCCGTGTGCCTCACCCAGGAAGGAACATCCACGTCCACCGCCGCTGGTCGTGGGTCCGTGCTCTCATCTCCCAGGGTGAGGTGAGGTGTACCGCCACTCTCGTCTCCCCCACGGCCGCTATCACCGCCGCTCACTGCCTCACCAGGTAAGTCCACGGTCATAATTATCTCCCATTAAGCAAAATTCCACTTGGCAACAAGTCAATTGGACGAAATTTCCCACCATATAAGAATAGATTATATGTACAAAATCTTCATTGGGCGAAATTTCATTAACCAAAATCATCACATGGCAAAATGTCAATGGATAAATGGATAAACAGTGAGAGGTGAAATCCAAAAATTGGAAAAAGATAGAATCCCAGAATGAACAGCTGAAAGAAAATCTCCCCAGAGAATTTCCCAGTTGATAAAATTCCATAATAATTATAAGTGGAATTCAATTCATGAGAAAACAAATCCTGTACAACAATTTTTCCACGGCAGAATAACCTCGTAAACCACAACTTCACTCGACAAAATCCCACCAGCTAGCGTGTCTCTATTAAGATAGTAATATGTCATCGTATACAAGGGGTTGAGAAAATCTTAGTGGCAGTGGACTCAAATGGTACATAAATCTTAGTGGCCTAATTTAGTTGGACTCTTGGGATATGCAATATGCATTGTACTTAAGGGGTTCACGAACAGCATAGGAGAATCTCACCATATTTAAAAACATAACTTTCACTCATCCAAAAATCACCGTAATCCAGAAGTTCTCTCTCTCTCTCTCTCTCTCTCTCTCTCTCTCTCTCTCTCTCTATATATATATATATATATATATATATATATATATATATATATATATATATATATATATATATATATATATATATATATATATATATATATATATATATATATATATATATATATATATATATATATATATATATATATATATATATATATATATATATATATATATATATTTCATGTAAATCCACAATGAAAACGTGGATAAGATAAATCTTGATAAAATCACACGGGAAAATGGAAACAACGGAGTACCTTAGCTTTCGTCTTTATTCAAGACATCTTCAGAGGCAACTGGATTACATGGACAGAGAGAGGCTTAAATATACAGGGTGACCTTAAAAACATGAGGTCAGGTCATAATGATGACATCCACTAATCCCCACACCAACACACACGTAGAGGAGCTTAAGAGAAGGGTGGTGACGTGACTAGCCAGGTCAGGTCAGAAAAAAGGGACCCACAAAATAACTATCATACATCTAGATCAAAGGTTTTCAAAGCATTTTTAACCTTGGGCCACTGACAAATAAATTTATGTAACATATTATCAGTTTTGAACTGACCATCACTAAGGTTTATTGATTTTAATTCCTTAATCAAACTAGCTTCAACAGAAGTCTTTCTGTGACACAAGATGATTTGAATACTTCTAAGCTTTTTCCAAGCAATGGGGTGATTATTATTCCTAACATGAACGAACAAGGCACTGCTTTCAGATGCAGTTCTGATATTATACTTATGTTGTTTGATTCTGAGCTGCAGTGTTTTTCCTGTCTGACCTACATAATTACAATTACATTTGCTACATGGAATACAATAAACACTTCCATTTACATTCAAACTTGGGCTATTCCTTATTAACATATTGGTAATGGTTGAGTCATACTTGAAAACAACATTAATATTTAGAAGCTTGAGGGACCGAACTAACGGGACAAATTCATTACGATAGGGCAGAGTCAGTTCAAAACTGATAATATGTTACATAAATTTATTTGTCAGTGGCCCAAGGTTAAAAATGCTTTGAAAACCTTTGATCTAGATGTATGATAGTTATTTTGTGGGTCCCTTTTTTCTGACCTGACCTGGCTAGTCACGTCACCACCCTTCTCTTAAGCTCCTCTACGTGTGTGTTGGTGTGGGGATTAGTGGATGTCATCATTATGACCTGACCTCATGTTTTTAAGGTCACCCTGTATATTTAAGCCTCTCTCTGTCCATGTAATCCAGTTGCCTCTGAAGATGTCTTGAATAAAGACGAAAGCTAAGGTACTCCGTTGTTTCCATTTTCCCGTATATATATATATATATATATATATATATATATATATATATATATATATATATATATATATATATATATATATATATATATATATATATTATTCCCATTCTCTTTCTTTGTCTCAGGTCTCTGGTGTCCCGTCAAGCTCTGGACGTGCGTAACTTCCAGCTTGAACTGCCCGGGCCCGACGAGCTGAATCCACGCATCCGAGTTACCGTAAGTCCTGTCACAGGGTTGCTGTACTCTTCTGCCACTATTTGATATTATGGATTATCTTAATACTCCCAAGTTATTCCCTTATTCCCACGCCCATGGTCTTCTTCCTCCTATCTTTATGACCATACAGTACTCCCACGCCCGCACCTTCTAACCACGTCTTCCTCCTGCAGCCCCAGTCTCTGCACATACACCCGCGCTACCTGCCTCAGATTGGATATCAGCATGACTTGGCAGTGATCACCTTCAGAGCCTTGGACTATGCCCTGCCTACTGTGTGTCTCGCCCACAATCAACTGATGCCCTCTGATGCCAACACCCAGGTGGTATGTAGAGAGAGATTGTTCACCAGTAGACAGACAGAGTAAGAGAGAGCGATAGAGAAAGAGAGGGGTGAAGATAATGATATAGAGTGGGCGAGAGGGAAAAGGAGAGTGTATTACCCCTTCCTATAGGTGTTCACTTCCTACAGGTGCTCACGATTACCACAAGAACATAAGAAAAGTGGGATACTGCAGGAGGCCGACTGGCCCATACAGGGCAGATCCTTTCACACCATCCCAGCACTTCCATGTGCCTATCCAACTTCGTCTTGAAGCTCCCTAGCGTCCCCGATCCTACTATAGCACTCGGTAGCCTATTCCACATATCCACAACTCTATTACCAAACCAGTGCTTGCCTATATCCTTTCTGAATCGGAATTTATCTAATTTAAAGCCATTTGTTCTAGTTATTTCGTTATTACTGAGCTTCAGAACATCTTCCATTTTACCCTTGTTAATCCCACTTACCCACTTGAACACCTCTATCATATCTCCCCTAACTCTACGCCTCTCTAATGAATGCAAGCCTAATCTTTTCAGTCTTTCTTCATATGGAAGGTTTCTAATATTATGGATCATTTTTGTCATTCTTCTTTGTACTCTCTCCAAAGAATCTATGTCCATTCTATAATAAGGACACCAGAATGAACCGCATAATCCATGTGTGGCCTCACTAATGCTAGGTAAAGTTTCAAGATAACGTCAGCAGTTCTGTTACTCACAGACCTAGATATGAACCCAAGAATCTTGTTTGCCTTGTTGCGAACGCTAATACATTGTTTTCTAGGTTTCAAGTCGTTGCTAACAAATACACCTAGATCTTTTTCACAAACTGAGTTTTCTATTTCCGTGTTACCTAGTTTATACTTAACGTTTGTATTCGTCTTCCCTATCTGTAGTACCTTGCATTTATCAGTATTAAAATTCATTTGCCAGTCTACTGACCACTCATGTAAGGTATCTAGATCTCTTTGAAGGTGTTCAAAGTCACTCTCATCCTGTAGATGTTCGCTCTTCCTACAGATGTCCCCCAAGTGTTCACTCTTCCCACAGGTGCATACTTTTCCAACATGTGTTCACTCTTCTTACAGGTGTTCAAGCTAGATCAAAGTCTCGCCATCTTTGACGTGGTATCACCCAGCTGGCGGACCTCAGAGGCCAACTGGTTCAACTCGTGTCAAGGTTTGGCGAATCCTGCCTCCTCCTGCCAGACCCAGCCGGTCGTCAACCCCTCACAGTTCTGCGCCTCTCACCCAGGTATGGCGCCTCCTGATACTGCTGACATACGGAAGCACATGTCCTTACCATCTCTTGTTGATCTCATTACACTGCGGATACTCAAATAATCCACTCCTGATACTGGTGACACTGATTATTGGCATACTTTTTTGTTGTTGTATTATGTATCACGTATGACTGGTCTGATTAGCACAAATGCAATATTTAAAATACAGAGATAATCGATGTGTTACGTTGTGTGTTCCTCCCACCCCTCAGGACTATCCATGGTCGCGGGTTCCTCTGGAGGTCCTTACCTGGCGGAGATTAGCAAGGGCGTGGAGGAGGTGTGGGTCCTAGTGGGGATCCTCTCTCAGTTTACCAACGAGACCTCCTGCGACCAGAGCCACACTATCTACACCCAGGTGGCTGACGGCACCAAGTGGGTCAGGAGCTGTGTCTTCGACGGAAAGTGCAACTAATGGGCGTTGAATGTGACTCAAAAGTGGAAGGGGCATGGTGCTCCTGTTCACTTGATTAACACTTTGTTATTCAGTCAGTTTCCTGTAGCTTCCTACAGTAATACAGGTATATGTATACCGTACATTGTATGTAGGCTGCGATTCAAAATGGAAGATATTTATGTGAGACCTTTCAGCGTATTTTAATGTTCTTAGGTTACAAAAGGTCCCTCAGATATTTTGTATATACAGTACACCAGAAAAACAAAAGTAAAACTGATCAAGGTTGGTGTATGGGGAGGCACCCTTCCCGTTCCCGCCTCTCTAAAGAAGTTTGGAATAAGTCTTTTTATTTATGATTTTAAACAGATACACAGACGATACCTGAACCTGAATTATCTTAATGACCACTGGAGGCACTAAAGGAAAAATGCTTTCCAAACTTAAACTAGTTTGTTTATTGGACATCTCAAGCAATCCGCAATTTACTTGTCATTTTTGTAATGATAATGGCGAGGGTTATAAATTGCATGTCTAGTATTGCAGGAATCTCTCCCTGAACCTGATCGGTGTGCACCCGGTTCTGTTTAACAGGCAATTTCGGTTACCAGGGAACGTTTCCTGAATCTGATGAAATTCTCCTTCAGCTGATAACTCCTCGACATTGTGAGTGTAATTGTGCACTGAATTGCGACATATCTTAATACATTTTTTCATCTGCAGAAAAACTCGCTTTATTGTATTGTGGTAAAATTGTGTATAACTGGATTTCTTCATACTTCGTGTCTTCAAAATTGTTTTTTGACTATTTTAATATAAATTGTTTTATAAAGGTATCCTAAAATTGATGCATTGTATCTAAACAGTTGTGAATATGGGTAATCCTATACTCAATGGCGACCATTTTAAATTTTCACTTAAAAATGGGTTTGGCCAAAATCACATGACTTTCTATTGGCCTATTTGGTTTTAATAAACAATCATGGCTGCATGAGTTCACTTTTATTTTACTTAGTTCTGTAATAAGCTTCGTTGCACAGGGTGCTCTTGTGAACTCCAGACATATGATAAACAAGGGTAATAACAGCCACATGACACAAATAATACATCCAGTCGCTTTATTGTGAAGCAAGAGTACACTGTGCCTCAGAGTGACGATCAAGGGACCAGCCCAAGGCTCGTGCTGGAGCGCTCGTGTTGTCACTTGACATAGTGTTTGTACAGTCAGTGTAATAAATCTGTTGGTAAACTTATGCCCATGTTAAATTTAAGTCTGTTCACTTCCAGATTTAACATATATGATAAACCATCAACTTAACGTTCATGTTAAAATCTCGTATATACTGTATATATATATATATATATATATATATATATATATATATATATATATATATATATATATATATATATATATATATATATATATATATATATATATATATATATATATATAACAGTACTGTACATTACTGTATTGGCACTAACACTTCATGAGTACAAAACGATACAGCCACCATACTGAAAACTGAGATAATAGCCTCTTGTGGTACACTGTGTCAAATATTACGTATGACGTGTTTGAAATTAATTTTCAATATTTTTAGTGTTCTCGAAAAATATGAGTGTTTGAATATTAGGATAGTGTGAGGTTAGAGTTAAAATGCATTTCCTTGCAACACCAATTTTAAAGGTCTCTGCAGTTTTTGTCAAGCATAGTCTGTCAGGAGTCAGCTTAAGAGTACAGAAGTAATAAAAAATTACGAAAGAAAAATATTGTAGTATTACCCGAACTTATACTAGGTTTATTACGGCGTAAGATTACTTAATATAGCGTTTTCTGTGATGGTCCTAAGTTGGAGTGAAGAGGGGAGACTCAAGTACATGTATTACTCCATTGGTGGTCGTAATGTCTGCGTAGCTTATGTCCACTCCATTTACAGTTACGTTTTCTGCGAAAGAAAATATTATGTATATTGCAATTTTTTTTAAAAAGTTTCTAAAAATATTGGAGTAGTAACACTTATGTATAATTAACGAATTAGGGAAATAATTATGACGGTGTGCATCACACTGTTCATTTATGTCTAGAACATTCCTAGACTGTACCTGCTAGCATTTGATATTGACGTGTGTATGTGTATGTTTTTTTTTAGGAAGGTGTACATATGTGTGTGTGTGCTTGTCTCTGTACAAACGTATATGTGGTGTTGTATAAAACAAACTAGTTACTATTACAAAATTAAGAGATGTGTTTGACAGCATGACTGTTTGCTTGTGATTTTAGACAGGCATATGTTATGAATCTTGTGTGCACGCGCACGCATGTGTGTGTGTGTGTATGTGTGTGTGGGGGGGGGTAATGCGTCTAGTGTCTCAGCATTATGTTAGTGTTAAGGTGCATGCACTACTTGCTTCCTCTCGCTTTCAAATAGCGTCGCTGGCTAGCCCTCGTGGCGAACAGGGAAACAACTTGCATAAGTCCTCCCCTGCTAGTGCACAGCCTCTTCACCATCAAGACTCCTTCTGTGCCTCCTTGTGGTAACACACGGTAACTGCGTGCCTCGTGGCCCCAGGCTAGACCAGCAGGGGATCTCGAAGCAGCAGTGAGCCCCAAAGGGGCCTGCTGGCATGTGGACACGTCCTGGAGCCTACCAACCACTGACCGCTGCCTTACGAATTAACCTTGGCAGATATAAGACTACGGGGATAATCCCCGAACGAAAAATCTACGGTGGAGCCCCGCATTAGGCAGACATGCTTACATAGCTCCAACAAGCCCCCTACAGCGGTGTACGCAGAAGAGGTGACCACCATGGAAACCCAACGACTACACCGGCGGACGAAAGCAATGCTTGATGGACAGGCTACTACGGCGAAACCCAACAAACTGGGATATTGGCAGTCCATTGCAACTCTCCCTCTCCCAAGTCGTTGCAGCACTTGCACCACTGAATCAGGAAAAGGGAGAGCCATCATCCTGCTCATAAACTTATCATCATCATCATCGAAACCCCTATACCCCTAAAAGTCCTATGGCGACAGACATGTGGCAAGAGGACATTCAGAGATGACTGCCGGGATCTCTGGTCAGAACTCTGCATATGGGCGGCATTAATAATATGGTCGTTTATGCACTGAGATCTAGGCAGCAGTGCAATTCGGTCCTGTCTGTGCGATTGAGGAGCCACTCTGCTCATCCCACATGGGGAGGGGGCTAAACATAGCTTGCGTAAAAAAACAACCTGGCTGGGCAACCACACCCAGTAAGGTCATTTTTATGCGGTCGAAAACACAATCCTAATCACAGATCAAAGCAAAAACAAACTATACAACCTCTTATGGCCGCCGCATGGAATGTCAGGACCCTTCTGGATACTGGCACAAATGAGCGTCCTGAAAGAATAACCGCCCTTGTGACAAAAGAGCTTTCAAAGTATAACATCGACATAGCAGCCATTAGTGAGTCCCGAATCGCAGACGAGGGTCGACTCACAGAACGGGGGTCAGCCTATACCTTCTTCTGGAAGGGTAAGCCTGCTGCGGAGAAAACGCATTTATAGAGTTGGCTTTGTCATCCGCCAATTCATCCTTCATAAGCTAACTAAAATGCCTGTTAGGATCAACAGACACCTCATGACGCTCCAAGTCCCACTGAATCACTTACGTCATGCCTTCTTCAGTGCAGAAGATGACATCAAGGTAGCGTTTTACGCCGACCTTGACAGAGAGCTAACCTCTATCCCCAAAGAAGATAAGTTTGTGCTCCTAGGTCACCCTCAATGCCAGAGTTGGAAGAGATGCTGACATGACTAGGAACCATTGGGAGAAACGCAGTAGGCAAGTGTAATCCCAACGGCCTACTCCTCCTCAGCAAGTGTGCTGAACACAACCTCACTATCACCAATACCTTGTTAAGGCAGGCCGTCAAGTTCACTGGCTCAGATCACTGTGACACTGATTATCGGCTCGTCAGAGTCATACTGTCACTTCACGACTTCCCAAAACATCGAAGGCAACAAGCCTCCAAAAGAGGCTTTAACACTAAGCATCAAGAGGATCCAGCGGTAACACATGCTTTCAGAGAACAGCTCGAACTTGGGCTGATAAGCAACCAGGCAACAAACAACCCAAGTCCCCCGTGTCGAATGGGGTATCCTCGACACTATCATGAGAAAAACCTGCAGAGAGACCTTTGGGCAGATCAAAAAAATACACCAGAACTGGTTTGATGAAAATGACCTGGAAATCAACGTACTCATCGAAGACAAACATGCTGCAGAACACCCTTCAGTCTTGGCCCAGCGTAAACGTCACAATCTAAAGAACGAATGGTTAAAAAAAAAAAGCATGTGAAACGCAAAAACTTGCGAATCAACGCAAGATGAGCAAATTTTTCAATTCCACTAAAACATTTTATGGGCCAATTAATCATGGCACAGCCCTCCCCCCTCCCGCTCATCCAATGGCAAGTCTCTAATTAAACACGAAGAAGGCATCCTTCAGCGCTGGAAAGAGCACTACCATTTGCTGCTCAACTGAAACACCAGTGTAAATGTCCTGACTACCCAGCAGGTCCCTCAGCATCCAGAGCTGACTCATCTCAGCTATCCTCCATCCCTGGATGAGGTAACTTCTGCCATCAAACAGATGAAATATAAGAAAGCCACAGGGCCTGATGGAATCCCAGCCGAGGTGTATAAAACAGGAGAACCTCTGCTTAATTATCAGCTGTCTCCATTCTCTCCTAGAGAATATATAGAAAAGGAGGAAATCCCCCAAGCTTAAAGATGCCTCCATCGTCAATATTTATAAGAACAAGGGAGACCGGTCAGACTGTGGCAACTATCGCGGAATCTCGCTGCTGTCTGTTGCTGGCAAGATTATCGCCCACGTCCTCCCAAAAAGACTTTCTCCCAGAATCTCAATGTGGCTTTAGACCATCACGTGGCACCACTGACATGATTTTTGCTGCCAGCCAGATACAGGAAAAGTGCAGAGAACAGTGTCGTGACCTGTACATGGCTTTCATCGACCTAACCAAGACCTTCGACTCGGTCAACAGGAAAGCCCTCTGGTGGACCCTCAGCCGTTTTGGCTGCCCATTAAAATTCATCGCCATTGTGAGGCAACTCCACGATGGCACGAACGGCAGTGTCCTGTACATTGACACGAAATCTGGGTTCTAACCCCCATCCAAACGGGGGTTAAACAAGGGTGTGTACTGGCACAACTCTCTTTTCCATTTTCTTGGTTGCCTTCCTTACTCATGCCGGCGGGGTGGATATCGAATACTGGATGAAGGGTCTTTTCAACATAAGACGACACCAGGCAGGAACAAAGGTGTCGGCGGCTTCCATTACTGAACTTCAGTATGCAGATGACCACTCACCCTTGTCGCTCACACTGAACTCAACCTACAGGAGATCCTGAATACCTACGCAGATGCGTATGCACATTTCGGCCTTGAGGTCAATGTACTTAAGACTCAGATTATCTTTCAGCCTGCCCCTGGTTCAACCACACCTCCACCATCCATCCAGTTTAATGGTATTACCCTTTATATTGTTACCCACTTTCGGTATCTCGGCTCCCACCTGCCCACCACCGCGGACATCGATGAAGAGATTCAGCATCGGATCAGAAATGCATATCAAGCTTTTGGCAGACTCCGAAACCGTTTCTTCAGCTGTAGGGAGCTGAAATTATCTACAAAGTTACACGTATATCGAACAGGAGGCACCTCAAGGCGCTTGAAAACTTTCACTAACGTAGACTACGTTCCATCCTCTGAGTTCGCTGGGAAAACAAGCGAATAAATGACAGTATTCTTGCTGACACCAAATGTAGGAGCATCGAGGCTACCATTATCCATCAACAACTACGCTGGACTGGTCATGTTACCCACATGGACGACAGTAGACTGCCAAAGCAGCTACTTTACAGTCACCTAATGAATAGTAAACGTAATGCTGGCGGGCAACTGAAAAGGTATAAGGACAAAAACAAACCTGAAAAGGTGCCAAATCGACTCCACACCTTAACACTTGGAGGATCACCACACGAGAAGGTGTCAATACTTTCGAGTTAGCCAGACTGCTTAATGAGGCATACAATCCCAACGCCGGAAAGACGCTTCCGCTGCCCCTCCCGCACTAGATGTAGCCCCCTAGTTGACATCCTTAATAACTCGATTCCGAGTAACAGCAAAGTAGTAGTAGTAGTAGTGTGTGTGTGCGTGTGTGTGTGTGTCTGTGTGTGTAACGAACCTGGAAGGGAAAATAATTATGTGTAAACAAGTGAGAGAGACTCACCTTGACCAGTAAGGACGGTGGTGAGCGTGCTGTTATTAAGTGAGCAGAGCGGCCACATGTTGGAGAAGCCGGCCGTGTACCACCTGCCCTCCACCATATGTGACAACACCCACTCTGAGATATCACATTATACATCAATATATTACGACAGACAGAGACCGGTCATTTGAATAAGTAAGAATTTTAAACAAAGTAATGGAACATAAGTGCAATATTTCTCAGCAGACACATGTAATTCTTAGGATACATTTTACAAAGGGAAGATTCATTTATGATTACATGTATTCAACAACACAAGCTCACTTACCCACATAGCAAGTGTGGAAAGAATAACAATCATTAATGGAAATCGAGTTGATATTGATAAAAACATTCGTTTCTAAACCACATACAGTATTCTGTGCCTTTCAAACAAATGACAACCTTACCTGACCTAACCTAGGTAACCTAACCTACCCTAACATAAACTAACCTACAGTAACCTAACCCATCATTAGCCAATTTATCAAAACTTTCTTTCACAATGAATCTAATTAACCATAAAAATATATATACTTAAAGTGTTATGAAGCAATAATATATCTTTATGTTGTCTGTGGACGGTTGTGTACGTATAGCTGTACTGTACGTCGTAGTATTAATAGTGATAGTCTATTAGAGTTCTTATCACATTAGTCTAATTGTGCATATCTCGGCGAGGATCAGATGGTATCTCAGTACAAATTTTCCGAGAATGATCGTTTGTTACCCTGTTGTTTACCTTCATTAAGTCCTGATTGTATAGAATATAAAGGAGTCTTGCCTGTATTGACCTAATGCAATACTTTTGTATTTTAGTATATGAAGGCAGTGCTATATATATACAGGTATCTGACCACAGTTTTAAAGCACATGTAAGAACAGACATCCTTAGTCAGGTATCAGACAGGATATTTCACTACTATGTCATATACGCCATAACAAAAAGGAGTCTTCCCACAGGACGGAAAACGTATGTTGTCAACAAAGACTAATGTATAACCTCATTCTAGTATTTGTAATCGTCCTTAACAAATTCTTATCATTGAATACGGATAGTGTCCAAATATGATATTATTATAATTGAGTGGGTTCCTTGCCTGAGGTAGACTCACCTCTCATGGCTTGTGGGTTTTGCGGGAGGGTAAGATTGGTGAAGGCGTTGTTGGATGGCACGAACAAGGTGACGGGGCCACTTCCTGCAGAATAGATAAATTTGTCGTCAATGTGACCCTATAATCCAGGAATAAAATTCTAAATTATACTTCATCCGATTTAATCATTTTGAGATGTAATGGAGATTAGTGTTACTGCGCATAGACATGGCACAACGGTAAGCATGTATAAAAGTCATTTGTGCTTAAGACTAACATTGTTATGCAGTTAAAGGCCTCAGCTGTTGAAGTGCGTTAATGCATTTTAACGTCAAACTAGTTTGTGTTATCTTTTTCTTCTTGTGAAGAGGATGTATGTTACAGGACGAAAAAAAAAGAAAAAAAAAGAAAACTTTTAACACATTAGTTTACCAGTGTGTGTATGAACACAGTGTGAGGCGTCTGGAGTATGGGTCAGAGTGTACACATCTGTCACTGTTAAATGACAATTTTACCATGAATAGCTTGACAAGATAATTTCACGATTCTATTTTTACTGCCTTGGAGATCATAAGAAGACAACTCTCATACTTGAGCTGAGAAGTTGACATAAGTGAAATTTTGACAGAATGAAAGGGTAGGAATGAGAGTGAAAGAGAAAGAGAGAGTAGGGATAAACGAATAAGGGTAAATGGGAATGAGAGCGAAGAGAAACGAAAAAGGAGAGAGCGGGGTGAGAGAATAAGAGGAGATTAGAAGGCAATGGATAATAGAGGGAGGTGGAACGATCGAGTCAAGGAAATTGAGGACAACTAAAATATTGAAAAGTGTGTAGATGTAAACAGACCTGAGAGAGAATGGAGGAGGGGAGTGTCGTTGGTAATGAGGTTGGTGAAGGAGGTGAGGGCGGGGGAGAGGGCCAGGGTGGTGTGCAGGTCACCGTAAGGGGCGTACAGCACGCGATCCACCACGTGCACCACGCCGTTAGTAGCCTCCTCGTCCAGATCGGTGATGACGCTGCCTCCTGCCACCCATCGCTAACACGGCACAAACACACCAATGAATACAAATAACATAGACAATAATTTTGTCACCAACACAAAAACATCAGCAATTTATCACTCATAATACAAACATATCCTTGTTACAGCCACTTCATTACACTCTGACACAGGTGCCCTGGCTTATTGTACAGTACAGTTACGGACATGCGTACCTACACCCCCTGTGGTAAACCGTGTCTCCAAACGGCATTGTCACAGTAGTAGTATGACTATTTATAAATGAAAGGGTATTGGTCGTGTAACGACAGACGTGGTTGGTGGATAGGTTTGCTATTGGTCATATACCTGTAGGTTGGCCGTTTGGAGACACAGGATACCACGGGAGGTGTAGGGGCACATTTCCACAACTGTACAGTACCAGGCAGGTCACGAGTCAGGCACTCACCGCTACTGGGCCCTCTGTGTAGTAGTTAAGGACTAGGGTGTGGCCGGCGTGCAGTGTGGGCAGCTGGACGCCAGGGCTGAAGGAGCCACTGCTGGTGAACTTGCCCGGAGCCAGGTGGTAAGAAACCAGCCGTCTCAAGAACCGCGTGTTGGACACTATCTGCTGGAGGGAGTAGCCGGGTATGGCGTTGATTGCCTCGTCGCTCGGGGCGAACACTGTCCAAGGTCCTGCAGGAAGAAGGAAAATTCGGCCTTGATCCCGGATTTTAGGAAGGCTAATTACGGTAGCTTAAGGAGAGACCTAAGGGATGACCCTATGGTCAAAAGATTAATCCCCCCCACACCTCCGGAAACTGTCAACTTAGGACGGGAGAACCCCGAATTTAATTTAGCAGCTACTTATGAACAATTTATTGCGACAATCCATAATGCTCAAAATAAACACATCCCTAAAAGAAAATTCAGATCGATACGGAACCAACCAAAATGGATGAATAATAGACTCTTAGATCTTCTAGGGAAAAAGAAAGGAGTATATAGAAAAGTTAAGAAAGGCGAAAATCACTTACTTGGTTACTATCAGAACCTAACAAGACAGGTAAAAACAGAAATTAGGAAAGCAAAGAGAAATTATGAAATTAAGGTAGCAAATGAATCGAAAAATAACCCCAAAGCTTTTTATCAACTGTATAAATCAAAGGTTAGAGATACAATAGGTCCCCTTAAAACTACGACAGGAGAAATGACTGATGATGAGTTAGAAATGTGTAGTACGTTAAATAGTCATTTTCGCTCCGTATTCACAAATGAAAACCAAGCACAGTTTCCAGAAGTTCATAAGGTATATAACGACAGTATAGAAAATATGTTGATGAATATCAATATTACTAGTCACGATGTGCTTAAAGTAATTAACAAACTGAAGCCTCATAAATCGCCTGGTCCAGACGAGGTATATGCTAGAATATTAAAAGAATGTAGAGATGAGTTGAGTAATCCATTACCAGTTTTATTTAATAAGTCATTAGAATTGGGCCTAGTGCCAGAAGCTTGGAAACTTGCAAATGTAGTTCCGATTTTCAAAAAAGGTGATAACTCAATTGCATCAAATTACCGTCCCATTAGTCTCACGTCAATAGTTGCTAGAGTCAATTATTGCTACAAAAATCAGAAGCCACCTTGAAACATTCAACTTAATTCATTCTTCTCAACACGGGTTCACCCAGGGACGTTCTTGTCTCACAAATTTGCTTAGCTTTTTCTCAGAAGTATATGAAGCGGTAGATAATGATAAGTCATATGATATAATTTATTTAGATTTCAGTAAAGCATTCGATAGAGTCCCTCATGAGAGATTAATAAGGAAGGTAGAAGCACATGGAATAGGTGGATCATTATTAAAATGGATTAGGTCATGGTTAACTGGTAGGAAACAAAGAGTCAGCATAAATGGATTTAAGTCAGACTGGGGTGCGGTCAAAAGCGGAGTTCCCCAGGGATCTGTATTAGGCCCTCTGCTGTTTGTTATATTCATTAATGATCTTGATTTAGGTATAACTAGTAGGATTAGTAAATTTGCAGATGATACCAAAATGGGGAGAGTGATAAATTCAGACAGTGACTTTGAACACCTTCAAAAAGATCAAGATACCTTACATGAGTGGTCAGTAGACTGGCAAATGAATTTTAATACTGATAAATGCAAGGTACTACAGATAGGGAAGACGAATACAAACGTTAAGTATAAACTAGGTAACACGGAAATAGAAAACTCAGATTGTGAAAAAGATCTAGGTGTATTTGTTAGCAATGACTTGAAACCTAGAAAACAATGTATTAGCGTTCGCAACAAGGCAAACAGGATTCTTGGGTTCATATCTAGGAGTGTGAGTAACAGAACTGCTGACGTTATCTTGAAACTTTACCTAGCATTAGTGAGGCCACACATGGATTATGCGGTTCAATTCTGGTGTCCTTATTATAGAATGGACATAGATTCTTTGGAGAGAGTACAAAGAAGAATGACAAAAATGATCCATAATATTAGAAACCTTCCATATGAAGACTGAAAAGCTTAGGCTTGCATTCATTAGAGAGGCGTAGAGTTAGGGGAGATATGATAGAGGTGTTCAAGTGGGTAAGTGGGATTAACAAGGGTAAAATGGAAGATGTTCTGAAGCTCAGTAATAACGAAATAACTTGAACAAATGGCTTTAAATTAGATAAATTCCGATTCAGAAAGGATATAGGCAAGCACTGGTTTGGTAATAGAGTTGTGGATATGTGGAATAGGCTACCGAGTGCTATAGTAGGATCGGGGACGCTAGGGAGCTTCAAGACGAAGTTGGATAGGCACATGGAAGTGCTGGGATGGGTGTGAAAGGGATCTGCCCTGTATGGGCCAGTCGGCTTCCTGCAGTATCCCACTTTCTTATGTTCTTATGTTCTTATGACCCATTCAACACGGTACTCCTGTATGTGATGAAAGCTACACTATACATTGTGTGACTAATCTTATCCAGGGACAGGCCCTAATAAATGAAAAAAACATCGCTAATCTGAGGAGCATCCCTCGGACACTATAAATGGGAATATCTGAATGTTGTGTAAGAAATTTATAATATAATAAATAAATGTGGTTGACATTATCTTGCAGAACAGACATTAGTTGTTTGGTCCGCTAGCCCTGTTGATAATCACTGGCTGCATTCATACCCACATTTTAATGACATTAAACTTGGTACACTAAAAATAAAATTCACAAATAGTTTTCGATTAGAGCTTAAATCATGTTATCGCCTGAAGAAAAAATAGTAATTGAAGATTTTAGTGATATATTTCGATAAAATGCCTAAAGTTCATTCTGGAATTTGAGTGACTAAAATTAAGGAATAATTATAAGCTACTGAAAAACTTAAATACTGTAGTTTTGATGATTGCCATATCACATTAGGGTGTCATACGAAGGCGAATTTTTGTTTTTCGAGTTTGATAAATCGGCCCATGGTATTAATGATGTAGTTCTATGTGCAGAATCATGTGATATCTTCAGATTTGAAAAGTTTTCATTTTTTGCTTGGTAAATTTTAACTTGAAATCTTATGAAAATTCAGTATTCCCACCCTTTCACCAACACCACTAAATAGCTTATTTAAAGTAAAGTAAATGTATCAGGTTAATTTATTAGGATGAAAATGATCCAGAATAGTGAAACGAATGATCTTGACACATTTATTAAATTTAATATTCCTTTAGAAAACAAAATCATCAAATACAAAAACCGGTTTTACTACTACGACCCGGTGTTGCCGCACACCATAGAGAACATGTCTTTCTTGCTTCTGTTTCTACTCATCACCTCCCTGCTGACCACCTGAGCTCGGATGTAGCCTTCCCTCCTCTCCTGGCTGTGCACGTGACTGCTGGCCTCGCTCACTTGCTGTACACAACGCTCTATACTCTGGGTGTGCGAGGGCCAGGCAGGGACATGCATGGGGTTGTCCAGGAAAGCTCTGACTTGAACATTGGTGAGGCTGCAGGTAAGAGAAGGCTCACTGCCAGCCTGGATGTTATCCAGATCTATGAGATCAGTGAGGGTCTTGGCACCTAGATTGACTTCAGGAGTCTTCCTGACCCTGAAGGAATCGTCACCAACTGATTCGTCATGCTTAGATCCTCTCATAAGTCTCATATCCAAGATCTTTTTGACTGCCACTCTTCTCTCCTCCTCATCCTTACTGCAGAGCATTTGTCTGCAGAACTGCACTCGGGATATGAGCATGCACCAGGAAGATCTCCTCACAGTCCTGCTCCACAATCTGAACAACCTTCTGGCTGACTCCTCAGGAGCTCAAAGCTGGAAAGAGAACATGCACCTCCAGACCTTCAGAGGTGTTGAGCTTGACCTTGGTGTTGAACCAATTTGGCAAGTAGACACTCACGATGAATTGGACAATAAGTCTCAGGTTGTGAAGCTGGTTCCTTTCAGTTTATGATGGGCGACCCAAATTCTACTGGAACCTGAGAGCCGTTGTGAGCCACCTAGAATGTGAGACTGGACCTATCTGCAGGTAAGCAAGTCTATCAGGCACTGACCCGGATTTGATGGCACTGCAAATCATGTAACCATAGTACTGGTCAGTACTCAGGTCGTCAATGACTTGGTATGTGCAAGCTCAACGAGTGGAGGGCCAACTGTGATTTTTCAAAGCTCGGATTTATTTCTAACTCAGTGGCAGAGTCCAGCATCTTGCCAAGAGGACCAGACCATCTGTTGTTTGAAAGAGTCTTGCCAGCCAGCTCCTGGATCAGATGTCTGAGTGGCAACTCGTTAGTGTGGAGGTCACAAACAATCCAGACCAGGTTCCTCCCAATCTTCCGCTCTATCCACTGTATGACCCCCCCCTTGCCACCCTGTGTTCGTGTTGGTGCTGTCCTCCATGGGGTCTGGTCCGTTCTCTCTGAGCCAGTTCACAATGTTATCTGCCACTATCTCAGCTGGTTCCCTGATGTCATCTTTCTCTCTAGGTGAAATGCCACAAATACTTCCCTCTGGTTCACTGCAGCAGGAGTAATTCACTCCTTCACCATGGCAGGGGAACAGCAGCTCAGAATCCTCCAACTTTCATAGAACACTTTGAGTGTCATCCCTTCTCCATCAAGAACAAACAATTGATTCCATTTTTCTCTCTTATCCCCTTATCAAACTCCTCTTCTAGAGTTACTGACAAGTTTCTCTAAGGACTCTCCTTACTTTGTTATGATCTATCACCAGGTGAACATCATCAGGTGTTATCAAACCACCGTCAATGCAGGCAGCTGTTGCTATCTCTGCAGTTTCTCTGAGACCAGTGTGGTGTCGCATGCTGGCCAGAGCTATGCTCGGGATATCTTTCCTATTTCGAATCTTATGCCTGGAAGGTTTGGGATCATTATTTTCTGGGTTAGGGACAAAGTCACCATTCTCCTGGTCAGCACTCGGATCAGCCATGGGGAAGTCATTAAACTCTGAATCAGCTTGACTCCAATCATCGGCCGTTTTTACCTCACCCTGGGCCTTCTCAAGTCTCTTTTCCTCGGCAACTCTTCTCCTCTTCTGTCTCTCTGTGGCAGCCTCCTGTCTCTTGGACTCCGGAATATCTTGGCTAGAAATCATGAGAGCCCCTGTACTGCCAGTCTTCTCTCTCTGTGCTTTGACAAATGCCAGTTCGATCACAGGAATCTTCAGTTCACGCTTGCAAATATAGGAGATGTGGGCCTCGGATTTACAGTCACGATCGCATCCAAACTCAGGACTGAAGAACAATTGGGCACTTGCAAGTAATTATGTCAAATAACTGGTCCAGTTGTAGCAAAGCTAATGTCCTTAACTGCAAGGATTTTCCTCTCCCCAGAGATATCTCTTGCCTTTTCCCAACTGGCTAGCAGTCTCACTAATCTTCTTCTGACTTGTTATGACTGGAGGCTTGAACTGAGCGTTAGCCAGGTGTACTGTGCCAAGACAGCTTTGGTCATATCACTAGCAATGTCTTTGTTTGTGTAAGTTCTTTGGTTCCTTTTCACTGATTTGCCCGATTAAAACACCGTATCTCAAGCATCTCAATGTCGGCAACTCCAGCTTCAGGGAGCTCTCTCCCAGACCCAAGATAGTGACTGAGATGGCTGGATTTTTTGGTTCCTCGTCCTGACACAAGCAGCCATCGCAAATAGTATCAACTTATAAAATGCATCAGAATCTGAAACAGAAAAAAATGTTATTAACGTTGGGTTGTTAAGAATGAAGTCAGAAAGCAATGTTGCTATTTAATTGTAATGCACTAATGCAGCTGTACGTTAGATTTTCGATAAATTTCACGCTAAAATTTACCTAGCAAAAGGTTGCAAAATATTGAAACTGAAATTATTTTCTGTTTATATACACTAAAATCTACCAAAAAAGTGATGGGCCATTAGTTTTAGCTGATCTTCCCTCCTATGACACACCCTAATATCACATGGTGAAGAAGTGGCATATATTTACATTGTTCAGCTAGCGTTAACTTAAAGTGACGTCTCTGCCTTACTGTAGGCCATTATTTACAGCCGCCATGAAGGCGCAGGTTTATCACTACAACATATTTATCAAGAAAGTTGGTAACGAAATACTTTTAATTGCATTAACGATAATCACATTTCCGAATGCCTCCAAAGAATTAGACTGCCTTTTGCGAGCTTGTTCACACTTTTAACAATGGCCATGTCTGATTTCATACTGTTGTCAGTGCAGGGTGACATCTCGTTGTCCTACTTATTACTATACCCGAAATATGAAGTAAATCCTTTCAACTCATTACTAACCAATCCTTCACTTCCTTCCCCTCTCTGCTTCGTGTCTGACAGTCTCTCTCTTCCTTTTCTCTTTTCTATGATGGTGAGAAGAATTATGTACTTTAGATTATGTGTGTTTTTGACTTACAGTAAATGTGTCAAGATGTCATTCTACCGGAAAGAAAAATCTAAAGTAGCTAGCAATGAAATTACCATTATGTTCTGAAACCTAAATATATATATATATATATATATATATATATATATATATATATATATATATATATATATATATATATAGATACCTGTATATATGAAATCACTGTGGGCGCGCATGATCCAGGTATATGCTGATAACCACAAGGAAAGAAGAAAACACGAAGTTCCCAAGCGCTTTCGTGTAATTCACATCTTCAGGGGTGAGTACAGACTGAGGAGAAGTACAAAACAAGGTATATATATATATATATATATATATATATACAGAGGAGGGTGAGACCTGACCTGACTACCGACTGCTGCTGTGCTTTTTGAAGATTAGTAGGGTCATTACCTAATACCTGACCAATGTGGACTTGATCTCACCCTCCTCTGTATATATATATATACCTTGTTTTGTATTTCTGCTTAGTCTGTACTCACCCCTGAAGATGTGAATTACACGAAAGCGCTTGGGAACTTCGTGTTTTCTTCTTTCCTTGTGGTTATCAGCATATATATATATATATATATATATATATATATATATATATATATATATATATATATATATATATATATATATATATATATATGTAGATCCTAATGAAAACGTGGATAAGATAAATCTTGATAAAATCACCAGGAAAAAGGGAAAACGGGCACTTTAAACAAATAACATTCAAGACATCTTCAGAGGCAAGTGAAGAGTAATGTTGAATGAAGACAACTAGAATATATATATATATATATATATATATATATATATATATATATATATATATATATATATATATATAAATAAATCACTGTAGGTGCGCGTGATCTAGAGTATATGCTGATAACCACAAGGAAAGAAAACACCCAAGTTCCCAAGCGCTTTCGTGTAATTCACATCTTCAGGGGTGAGTACAGACACACACACACATATATATATATATATATATATATATATATATATATATATATATATATATATATATATATATATATATATATATATATATATATATATATATATAATAATAATAATGTATATTATTGTGCTGTGTGATTCCATTTACAGAAATTAATGCTTCCTCAGGTTAGGTTAGGTTAGGTTAGGTTAGGTGAGATAAGGTTCTGTTAGGTTAGAGTATGTAAGTAGTTGTCTCCGTTTATGGGAATTTGATCGTCTTACATAAGATCACCTTAAGCGAGCTTACCATCAAGGCTCAGAGTGAGTGTCAGCCCGGCACGGTTTATCAGTTCCGTGAATCTGGTGAGGTTTAACCTTTCCAAGAGTGAGAGGACGTCCAGCTGGGACCTCTCCTCGTTCGTCAAGGCTCCTGGGCGGGACCACACCACAACGCTCTCAGGAACTACGGGAACTAAGGGAACTTGAACTCTGGAGACGATGGGACTGACTGCTTGATCCTCAGAAAAAGCCTGTGGGTCGATGACAGTGTTTGGTCTTCCGAAAGGAGATCCTGAAAATGTTTCTTGAGCATCATTGAAGTACCCTGAAATACCTTGGTTATGTAAATACTCAGAATTTTGTAGCATCTCACAGATTCATATCAGTCTCATGAAATGCTCAACTAATTATTTCAGATCAGAATAAGCATTATATGTATATATATATATATATATATATATATATATATATATATATATATATATATATATATATATATATATATATATATATATATATATATATATATATATATATATATATATATATATATACACACATATATATATATATATATATATATATATATATATATATATATATATATATATAACTAAAAGCTGTAGTATGTCTGTACCAGTGTGTGAATACCTTGGGTGTCGACGCTGGTTCTGTTTTCATTGGCTGGACTAGTAGCCCTAGGGCAGTCAGCATCTGAGCAGTTTCGACTGTTTTCTTGCGGTAGATGAGGTTGTGGAGAGACAACATTGGCTACATAAACACTATTTCCCTCTTCATTAATAGTTTGATAAGTATTTTTTATCTGCGGTGATGTAAGTGTACTTATGAAATCTCCCGTCGTTCTGGTGCCATAATTGCCAAATCGGGAAAAGTCATCAACGAATGGCGTGTGGGTGTTGTATCTTGGCTGTTCCTTGTAAGTTTCATCCGAGGTTTCCAAGAAGCTGAAGTTATCTGGCATTGAAGATTCATTGTCCTGACTCTCTGGACTCTGCTGAGAATCTGTTCCTTCTGTTTGTTGACGATTCAGAAAACGTGGAGTTTGTACAGATTCCGGATTAAGGTTAGGGTCTGTGGAGGACTGATAACTGTAAGTGTAAATGTTATTCTCAGTTGGAGGAACACGATCGATAGTAAAACGTGCAATATATTCCTGGAAGGTTGGAACCCGTGCATGTTGTGAATCTGGACCACTTGAGGTCTGTTGTGGAGTGTCTTTGCCAGAGTGCTCATCAGAAACTGTTCCAATTTTTGGAATGAAGTCAAGAAAAGGGTCACGATCAGGTGTTTCATAGAGTCCACTGATGGGAGGAACATCTGGTATAATGTCTCCACCGAACGTGAAACTTTGATATATGGGAGATTCGGTCTGACTCAGCAAAGGGTTTGGGATGGTGGTGGGGTCACTGCCGAGGTCTGACTCTGGTATGAGGTCTGCTGCCAAGTGTACAACACCGTTGGTGGCTGTCAAGTTGTTGGAGCGCAGCGGTACACCGTTGACTGAGACTGTACCTGTAGGAAACACCAGAGTTAGCCTTCAAGCATGGAAGTACTTAAGAAATAGGTATTCATTCTATTAATGCATATCTTACTATAAAGAGAATTTTTCACAACTAAAGTGGCAGGAAAGTTTTATTTACAGAAAACTAAATGTGATAGAACTAGATGCTTCTGGTGTTTGTTTACTATGCATAACTGCAGTTTTGAAGACAGAACGGAAATTTGGCATGAAGATACTCATGCACTCCAGAAAGGACTCGAAAGTGGAATTTTTGGGAGTCAATACAGTGTGATAACAGTTCCCACAACGTCAACATCTCTTACCGACCTGCCAGACGTAGGAACACCACACTCGCATAACTTATGTAATTAAATTATTTGAGTACCCTCATATCCAACCCAATGCTTTGCAAACCCCATAATAAATTAAAACATTCATAACCTAACCGAAACACCATTAAAGCAGGAGAATAACTCGACATATGATAGAAAACGGAGAAACAAATTTAGAAGTTATTGTACAGAAAACCTAACATGGACGGATCTACACAGGCTACCGCAATATCAGAGTGGAGTTGAGAGCCACCTGCGCCGTGCCAGCTACTAGGCTGCCATCTACAGGGGTCTAGAAGGCTGTCTAGAGGTGCCATCTCCACAGGGTGTGGTGTCCCCTGCACCCAAGTCAGTCTTGGACTGTGTCAGCTGCAGGTATCAGAGATGTGCTGAGAGGAGGTGCTCCAGCAATCAGAAAGGCCTCAACTGCACTGGGGCATGCAAGTGCAACCATGAGAATTATGAACTCAAAGGCCACTGCCACCAATTTAGCAGCAGACCCCCTAAAGTTAGAAGACGAATCAGATTATGAGTAGGACATGATACTGTGACCGCTAACTTTTGCTACAGATTCATCGACTGCCTCTGTATTGCTCTTTCATCACTGTTCTACATGTTGACTAAAAATCTACATTTTATGTATCCCCCTTTATTTAATACTTAATATGTTGCCAAAAATGCAATGATGTGAAGCAAGCAATTATTCTCATGGTATAAATAAATGTCCTGTGTTAAGAAACAAACTACAAACACTTTTGATCTGGGCGTAATTCAAATCTTTCCAGCAAAATCCAAAAACGCCGTTTTTCGTCAGGTCGCTACAAATCGCCGAGTACTGATATAAGAAATGGCCCGCAAAGGGTCTTTTGGACACTTTCTGGAAGGATAGTGTATTGAAATCAGAAGTTAATAAATCATATAACAAAATCATCCCCACGATTAATACACCCAAGTAGCGTCACGAAGGTGGAATTTTGGGGGCTTTTGGAAATATCCCCGAAAATGCTCATAAACATCAAGATTGGAGTCGGCCTTACAGAGAGCGACCCCTACCTAGAAGTGAGCCCCCTGTGTATGATCACAGTTTTTAACATGGAAAAAACCCGGGCATCGTCGGGTACCCTAGCGAGTATTTATAGGTAATAGCTATTGTTTTATAGATAGAGTTCATTACAGGATTTCTTGATGCCAGAAATAGTTATTCCTTAAACTTGTTTCAGCTGTAAGTTTTCTTCATAAGTCGAAACTGCCTCCAAGAGTAAGAGCTCTGCTCCCGGGGATAATTATCAGATATGGCTAGTGCTACTGGTGAACGGGGTTACGCCCTTCTGTGGGCAGAGTTACAGAAATCCAAGGAAAAAACCCTGAAATTAGAGTTAGAAAACTTGAAATTAAAGAAAGAGATAGCAACGCTGAAGGAAGAAACGGGACAAGGAAAGCCGGTGAATGACAATAACTCTGGGGAATGGAAGGTTGTGAGGAGAAGGACGACCAAACTGGTGGTGAAGAAAAACACCAAGGCTACGACAACAACAGCTAAGTGTACCAACTCGTTCAGTCCCTTGATAGACGAAATGGACGTTAGTACAGTCAGGGACAGGGCTGACAAGGAAGGTATAAAAACTTTAATTGTTGGTGACTCACAGGTAAGGTACCTGGACAGAGCCTTTTGTGGTAAAAATAAAAATAGGATGAGGGTGTGTTTGCCAGGGGCTGGGGTGGGGGATATAGTTGACAGGATGGACAATATGTTGTCTGGTAATGGGAACAAACCCATTATCTGCCTCAGTGCAGGAGGTAGTAATATTGGCCGGTGTAGGATTGAGGAGCTTCTTGATAAGTTCAAGACAGCTATAGATTGTATTCTGACTAAGGGAGGGATCCCTATCATATGTGGTGTCCTGCATAGAAGGAGAGTTAGCAATGAATGGTTGTCAAGGGCAGTTGGTGTCAACGGCCGTCTTGACGTATATTGCAAGTCAATATCAGTCCCATTCATTGACAACTGTGACAACTTCTACGGCAGAAGGGACCTTTATGCTAGGGATGGGGTACACCTGTCTCGGGAGGGGGTGGCAACCCTGGCTGGGTCACTAGAGGGGGCAGTTCAAAAGATATCGAAGTCTTTAAACGGCTAGGGGAGCATAAGAGCACGGGGGTGGAGGAGACTGCAGTGGTAGCGGGTAAACCAAGTGAAAGATTACAGGGAAATAGTGTTAGGAATGATGACAAAACTAAATTAGACAGGGAATTTAAACCTAAACGCGGTAAAGGGAGGACTCAGAACACGACTAACTTAAATGTCTACTACGGGAACAGTAGAAGCATGAGAAACAAAATGGATGATATTAGGGCCTTGGTATGTACCAAAATCGATATAATAACATTCACTTAAACATGGATCAACCTAGACTCAAGTGAGTTACCTGTCGAATACCAAATTGCGGATTACAAATTGATCCATACTGATAGGCCGTCCAGGAAAGGAGGCGGAGTCGCCATCTATGTCAGGGATAATCTGAAGTGCGAAATAAATAAGGAAATAAAAACTGAGCGGAATACAGAAACAATTTGGATAGAATTTATCGACGGTAGGGAAAAATTAATCAGAGGAGTAATATATAGACCTCCCAATCTTGATAGAGTTAATGAGCGACTTATCTGGGATGAAATGCGCAGGGCTTCCTTACACAACAAAGTCTGTATAGTAGGCGATTTTAACCTTGGCCAAATAGATTGAACTGACCTTAGGGGTAACTCAATATCAGAGGATTTCCTCAAAACGATCCAGGACTGTTTCCTAAGTCAACATATAACTGAACCCACCCGGGGTAATAATATACTCGATTAAGTTCTGTCGAACAGAGAAAACCTCATTAGTAATGTCGAGGTAGGGAACGAACTTGCAAACAGCGATCACAAAGAAATTAGATTCCAGTTAGATTTTCAGGTCAGACGTAAAGGGAATTCCATTAAAGTCCCAGATTTCAGAAGGGCAAACTTTGATAGTTTAAAGAAGCAGCTGAGAGAAGGGGTATCACGCTTGGATGAGAACCAAGATGACACCGACCTGATAACGAGATCTGAGATTGCCGAGTTCCACGACAAATTAAATAACGAGTTACTTAATGCCCAAAGGCAGAACATACCATACAAAAAACTCAGATCAGACAACAATGACCCTAAATGGATAAATAATTATTTAAAGAACATTATTGGCCAAAGGAAGGCTATAGGTAGAAGGATAAAGCGTGGCGAATTTTATGTCCGGGAGTATTATAAGGTATTGGCCGGTAGGGTTAAGACCGAGATAAGAAAAGCCAAGAGGAACTATGAACTGAAGGTAGCAGGGAAGGCGAAAACAAACCCCAAAGGATTCTACCAAATGTATCAAACTAAAACACGAGATAAGATTGGACCAATACGTTCAGATACCGGCGAGCTAACTGATAACGACGGAGAAATGAGCAATAATCTGAATAAATATTTTTCAACAGTTTTCACCGCCGAAAATTTAAACATGATACCCGAGGCACTGACTCTATTCAGAGATAGTGAAGAAAACAAATTAAGCGAGATAGTAGTGACTAGTAACGATGTTAATAAGCAAATGGACAAACTGAAGCCTAATAAGTCACCTGGTCCCGATGAGATATTTGCCAGAGTATTAAAGGAATGTAAGGATGAGCTTAGTATGCCCTTAGCAAAGTTGTTTAACATGTCATTAAGAACAGGTGTCGTGCCAGAATCCTGGAGGATAGCGAATGTAATACTGATTTTCAAGAAGGGGGATAGATCACTATCCTCTAACTACCGCCATATCAGTGTAACATCAATAGAAGGTAAATTACTAGAATCAATTATTTCAAACTCTATTCGAAACCACCTGGAGAAGCACAAGTTGATCAATGATTCCCAACATGGCTATACAAGCGGGCGTTCATGTCTAACTAATCTATTAACATTCTTTTCATCAGTTTTCGAATCGGTGGACGAGGGGCACAATTATGATGTGGTATATCTCGACTTTCGCAAAGCCTTCGACAGAGTCCCCCACGAAAGACTAATTAGAAAGGTAGAAGCGCATGGCATCAAAGGTAATATCCTTAAATGGATTAGGGCGTGGTTACGGGACAGGAAACAGCAAGTGAGCATAAACGGCACTAAATCGCATTGGAGCAACGTCACTAGTGGAGTTCCCCAAGGCTCAGTACTTGGACCATTATTATTTATTATATACATAAACGACATAGATATCGGCATAGACAGCAGCATAAGTAAATTTGCTGATGACACTAAAATAGGATGTGTAATTAAATCTGACGAGGACTCTGCAAAACTACAGGAAGATCTAAACAAATTTTTCGAATGGTCGGAAAAATGGCAGATGAAATTCAACATGGACAAATATAAAGTACTCAGTATAGGAGATGTAAACAGGGAAACCAGTTACCAGATGAACAACGATGCCATTGTGGAATCCAACTGCAAGAGAGATTTAGGAGTAATGATAAGTAGGAATCTTAAGCCAAGTAAACAATGTGTTTTTGCTCGTAACAAGGCTAATAAAGTACTTGGGTTCATACAAAGGAGTGTTAGTTACAAGAAAAGCGAGGTCATCTTAAAATTATATCTAGCGCTTGTGAGACCTCACCTGGATTACGCAGCTCAGTTCTGGTCACTGTATTACAGAATGGATATAGAATCATTGGAAAGAATCCAGAGGAGAATGACAAGACTAATCCCGGGCATTAAGAACCTTGAATACAGAGACAGGTTAAAGCATCTTAATTTGCACTCCCTCGAGAGACGTAGAGTGAGGGGCGACATGATAGAGGTGTATAAATGGAAGTCAGGGCTAAACAAAGGGGACATTACAAAGATACTCAAACTATCCAACCAGGAGCGAACTCGTAACAATGGTTTTAAATTAGACAAATTTAGATTTCGGCGTGAAATTGGTAAACACTGGTTTGGAAACAGAGTAGTGGATAAGTGGAACAAGTTACCAAATATCATTATTAACTCGAATACGCTGAATAGCTTCAAACATAGGTTGGATGCTTATATGAGCAATAGGGGTTGGGTATAAACGGGACTGCCCAGTATGGGTCAATAGGCCCGCTGCAGTTTCCTCCATTCTTATGTTCTTATGTACCTTGTTGGTAAAATTTCTCATAGTAGTGCATAGTGTGGGTAATTTCGTTGACATCTTCTAACATCATGAAATAGCACCTTCCCCTAATTTAGAGTGAAGAATTTACTTTAAATGTTAGAGCTGTTCATCTGTGACAAAATCTTTGTAAATATAACTTACGTAAAAGGTTATGGGTAAACACACGAGACGCTCACCGTCTTGGTCTTTCCTGAAAGTGACTCTAGTGCCGGCCAAAGTGGTGAGTGTACGCTTCTGCAGGAGACCCTCAGTGTACCAGGCGCCCCTGATGGTGTGTCTGGCCAGCAGATCCTGCCCCAGCGCCCGGTCCATCAGTAGCCCAGGCCATGAGTAACCCTTGGACGTGATGGCAGAGTCCGGCGGCGCCAGCAGAGTGTACGTGCCTGTACAAGGTAGAGGAAGTTAAATTTTGAGGGGATACGACCAGTGAACCTTCACATATATACATAACATTATGCTCAACCAGACACATCTGCCACAGATGAGTAACCCAGACAATTTCCCACTGACCCCTGATACATTCGCCATCATAAAAACGAAGCTCTTAAAGTAACGAGAGTTAGAATGCTTAGTCAGTAAGAATTTACATTAAGTTGTATCACTCCATCTTTCTTCCTGGAGATAGTTTCCAATTTGATGCTGTTTGGTCAAAACTTGAGACAATCATAAACCATACAAAATTACAAGAGAGGGCTGTTGAATTGTCTCAATATGATAAATGATTCAATCATTAAACAGTAGTTTCGTTGTAGATCGAGTAATTCGAAACAATGTTGATCAAATGAGTCCTCACCGATCCTTAGTGAGCGATAAGTTGTGTATGAAGAAGGTGGCTGTGATGATACAACCGAGTACCCACCTGACTGCATGAGGTTAGTGACACTGAGGAGTGTGTTCGCCCTGGAGTAGGAGTGTCCGCTGCCCACCAACACCGTCTGTACATCACCCAGCGGCACCTCCAACACCGACTCCACCACCTGCCGGTACCACACCACCAGGGAACTGTAGATGGTTATGTAGGCCAGGGAGAAGGTATATGGACAAGGGAGTTACCATGAGGGGAAGGGTGAAGTTTGATTAAGGAAGGTAGAAAGCTATGGGGTTAAGGGGGGCGTTTCCGTGAGTGAGGCAGATTATTACTTCATCTGTATTTACCTGTGTTCAGTTTGCTTACGATAAATATTGCCCACAACTTATGTCTAGCCTGCCCCATACCTGGTCCTCTTATACTGTCCTTGACGCACAGGTGACTGACCTCAGTCCACACGTCTATATCACTCCCTCCCTCCGGTACTACCTATATGTGTCCCTCTTCACTTTCCATGGAACAATGTGGTCCTTCTCTGAGAAAGACATTGGTACATGAATATGATAAGCATGCAGTAATTCTGATACTGAACAACAGGTGAGATACATCATTCATTCATTGCTACGACTTGAAATATTTGTCATTACATAACATGTTATGACCTGTGATGTATTGTCCGTCCTCACCTGGATGGTGCCGTGCGAAAAGGGTACGTCACCCCTTGATACGGCTGCCCCATTGACGTACACAGAGCCGTCGTAAACATTGAACCTCAGCTCGTGGCCCAGCATGGTCTTGAAGGTTGAGTCATTCATGACCTCCGGGGCTGGTCGACCTAGTAAGGGAATGAGATGGTAGCCGAGGTCATTACCGCGGGACAGCTGACGCAGCTCATTTCGAGATAATCGGGAAAACGCTGCTTCTGACGGTGCCAACAGGATGTAAGGACCTCTTTCTGAAAAGATGAACAGTCTGTCAGTGTACAGTACAAGCTCAGTTAAAAGACCACAAGTTCAAGGCTTGGTTATAACCAGTCTTGTGTGAGAGTTTGTATTATAACCTCAACGTTCTTGACTGATAACGTATTCTTAGTGAGTTCTGTAAACTCTGAGGCATCGGAGGAGGAACATTTACAAAAGAAAGCAAAAATTATATAATAGAAGAGTATAATTGTATTTCTCCTTTGTGTAAGGGTTGTAATGAGCACAATTAATAACCGTCCAGCACTACCAAAATAATTATTTCCTTAGTATAATTACATATTAGCCTAGATTTCATATTTTAATAAGTCCAAATATGCCAGGTAACTAGTGCTAGGTACTTCCCAGGCGTGTTTCATTTGTGTATCCGTTTAACCACAATTTGCTAGTAATAAGATGAATTCATGTTTCATTTTTTTATTCCTTTAGTGACTCAATGTATTACAAGAAAGAACTACTTTACGACTTGTTTGGGCCAACAGTTGGAGTAGTGATATTAATTAACTTTGCCATTGACAGTATGTCCATGATTTCAACAAAAATGAATAAGTCCTTCTAAAGTAAATGGAATTGATGATGATATTATCTTTTGGCCATCCAACGAATTTTATGATTTTAAGTTGACCGATTTTTACCAGTTAAGTTAGGTTATGTTACATTAGTTAAGTTGGGTTAGGTTAGGTTTGGTGACATTGAAATTATGTTTTTTCAAATGCCAAGTAGGTGGATGACCTATACATTCATTTTACCAAATTGATTATGAGTAGATTAAAAACATTAGTTGTGTTTTTTTTTTTACAAATTCAGACTCCGTAAAGTTCTAATGACATTTATGCAAGAGGAAAAAATTAGCACCAAATTGTATTGTTTAATACCAAAAGAAGTCATTGATGAAGATATTTAATAACAATATTTCAGGTATTACGACCTGGTCGTCGGGACGGAACACCGTCGTAAGTCGAGGAGAGACTGTAATACATTTTCATCTTTAAACTCGTTGTATCTTACCTAACTCACCTTGATGCTCCACTCAATTATGGCTAGATGTAATAAATGTAGAAATTAATCACAGGTATGACTCCCTTTACCTTTAATTGTATTTATATTACAATTCTTGGATATTCAAAGATAATGAAATTATGAATCTTCAATAAATGTGATATACGTACATTCTAATGATGACAACAGAAATATGTCAGACTTGACTAATTAACTGTAACCAGAAATTAACCTAAGTGAATTTGTCCTTAATTCAACCTTTAAAATATGAAAGACAGTATACTTTATTTTATGATAGTTAAGTCAGTTTCCAGTTAGGTTAAGTTAGGTAGGTTAGGTTAACATTTTTATATAGATCATTAAAATTTTAAAGAGCTTATAATTTTTGTTCTATGAATTTCTCCAAACAAAGGGATCAAAGTTTGGGAATCACCATAACAATTATACACTACAGTACATTAGAAAAAACAATAATTTTTTGTAGTGTGTTGCATATCAAACCAAACAAATCAGAGTTTCCTTTGGAATTTTATATTTTTATTTGTTTTTAACAGACAAAATTACCCTTAATATTTAGATGTTGGAAACTTCTAAATATTAACCCTCATAAATATAGATGTTTCAGAATTTGCAAAATTTAACTAACACAATATTAATGACTTTATTTTCACTTACAGGTAGAGACACAGCTGGCTATTCACCTTTCACCAATACTGAAGAAATAAATCTTGGTATCATTTGATTGATGGGAACTTTTCCCGGTTCCAGGGAATATTTTGGAATTTGCTTTCTAACCTAATCTCGGAACTGGTTCCCAGATTCGGACCAGAAAAATTTGGAGACTCCATAAAATCCCCAAATTACTCATAGACCAGAAAAAATGCAGTTTCTGGAATTTTCTGAACACATACCTTGGAGAAATCATAACATACTGTATCCCTTAATTATTATTTTTTTTATTTTACAATCTCCATACATACGTGGATATTACATATTAATTTATTTGTGAAATTTGTGGATGATTTTTCTTTTAAAATAATTTACTCTTGATCACCCATATATTATAACATATCCTGCTTTTAATAAAGGCTATATTCTGAAATAAGCATTATCATTGTATTCTTATCCTTATTATTGTTACAGTTTATATTAAACATTAAAAAATGCAGGATTGATTGATTTGCAATTAACATTGCAGACTGTATTGAGTATATTTTTAAACCATTTAATTATCATCTTGTTCTATGTTTAATATTATTAGTCTCTGATTAGTTAGTAGAATTTCATGACTATACCTACTGTATATGGGTTTCATGACATTTACTCACAAGATGAACCTAATCTAACCTAACATGTCTTCATTTCCATAATAGTTGAGTATATGCCTTGTAAATAAATGTCTGCACACTAACTATATGAAGGCAATATTTTTCCAAATAAAAGTCCATTTATAGAGCAGAGACTTTTCTCCGACTTCTGGTTTAGTCCATGTCTTAACATATTGTATGCATTTTTACTCTTGACATTGGGAAAGTGTTCATGTCTTGTTTTTTTGAAATGGTATTTATTGCATTACTATAATCAGGTGGAGAAAAGGAGGAAACATTATCTCAAGTGTTCATATCTTGTACATAACTGGCCTTGTATAATATGAAAGTAAAAATTTTGGTATAAAGATAATTTCCTGTTTGATAGAAAGCTAAGAGTTATGGTGATATTTTTTCAAGATTTTATCCCAATTCATCTGTACAGTGAGTTCATCACTGCCATAAAAAAATTATAATACCTAATACTGTATTTCGCTATATTCTACTGACTCTATCCACAGAACAGGCAATAATTTCTCTTTATTACACTCACCCAACCCCAAGTTCATGAAAAACTTATAACTATATTGTTAGATTTCATAAGGATAAAGAAGAAAGGAGCAGATATTACACTCAATTCCTACATTTTTATGGTTGTCACAGGCTTTATTTACCTATATTCACTGTAAATAATCGTATTTTATTCCCAGAATTGACTTATAATCCAAGAAAATAGGAAAATGAGGTGCACCTTAGCTTGGGATTCAAGTTTTTTATGCTCGTAAATCGTGTAGCAAGAGCAAACATTTCGTGCCACTCACAACGTTTTCAGGGTGCAAGCATACCAACCCCCAAGTCTTCCGGCAGGTAGTAGGTATTAGGCAGCTACCAAACAGGGAGGTACTACCGCCTGGGAAGATATTGGAAGCATAATGTGTTGTCTATGGTAGACCCTGCTGCCACATAGCATCACGAAAATTGTGACCAAGTCCCAGGTTGCTGATCTGACTTTCGGCCTCCTTTACACACAATTGCTGCGGTCCGACTAATTCCCCAAATGTACCCAAATGTAGCAAAATGTAGCCGCAATGAAGTCAAATAATGGTCCTACATGAATAAATCGGACTGCTAATCACTTCTCGACTAGTATTTGGTGTCACAAAGTCACAAAAAATTGGAAAACTTACTTTAATCTGAGTTAATAGATCGCGTGCATGTATGGAGGGAGCTAGTAATTACCCAAATGTAGCCAAATGTAGCCGCAATGAAGTCAAATGATGGTCCTACAAGCGTAAATCGGGCTGTGAATCACTTCTCGATTATTATTTGGTGTCATAGTCACAAAAAATTGGTAAACTTAATTTAATCTGAGTTGTGTTGTGTTAGGTTAGGTTAGGTTAGGTACATGCACTCGATCTATTAACTCAGATTAAATTAAGTTTACCAATTTTTTGTGACTTCGTGACACCAAATACCAGTCGAGAAGTGATTGGCAGTCCGATTTATTCATGTAGGACCATTATTTGACTTCATTGCGGCTACATTTGGGTACATTTGGGTAATTAGTAGGACCCCAATTGCAGGGCCTCAATTGTTTCTCTTAATATTGACAACACAACATACATACAGTATATTGTTTCTCACTTGATTTTTTTTAATTTTGTATTTCTTTATTATTATTATCATTATTATTATTATTATTATTATTATTATTATTATTATTATTCATTATTATTATTATTATTATTATTATTATTATTATTAATTATTATTAATTATTATTATTATTATTATTATTATTATTATTATTATTATTATTATTATTATTATTATTATTATTATTATTATTATTATTATTATTATTATTATTATTATTATTATTATTATTATTATTATTATTATATTTTCGCTCCCTAGGCCCCGATGTGGGTCAGTCGGGTACCACCATGGCCCATCTTGAATAATCACAAAATTTTCACTCCATTGTATTACGACTGCCGGGATACCACGGCATGGTGTACACCACGGCTGATCTTGCATATGGGCCGTAGACTGAACCTGTACTTAAAGTTTGTTGCTCATAGGCTGGGGATAAAAAGGTTTTATTTCGTACTTGAACTAATGTAAAAATAAAAATATTGTGAACCTTGTCTTACTGCACACATTTGTGTTTTTCTTACATAGGTTTAGTTTTAAGATGAACATCGAGGTGACACACGAGGCAAAATAGTGTACAGTACAGTATTAATCTACCTACGACTACGACTAACCTCCAGATATGAGAAAGTTTAGGAGGCCTGAAGTCTCTAGGAGGACGAGGAGGGTGGTGAGTCCCTCCCGCTGTAGGGTGGACACCACACTGTCACCTGGGCTGCTCGTCAGCTTGAACACCGTCGCAAACCTGTCTATTGACGTTAGTGGATCAAGAGGCGGGTTGTTCCTCGGCGAACTGTGCAGAGGGAGAGAACAGTGGTGGTGAGGAAGTAGCGGGACATGAGAGTCTTCTCACTGGCGTAGTCTTCTCACTGGTGTATACATACCACTCGGACCTGTTGTGGTTGTCTGAGTTTTTTTTTTTATAAATTTTACAATTTACATATATACTGTATACAAATTACATATTAACATATTTGAAAGTGAAATATTTTGATGACTTTTCTTTTAAAATACACCTGATCATCCATTACTTAAGGTGCTGTACATTCTAAAGTGAAGAAAAAAAGTTTGTGCATTGGTCGGTGTATCTCTTATTGGTGTTAATAATGACATGTCAGTCTAGTTGATTTACTGGTCAGCTCACTATGATCAATGATATCCATGAATCAGTATCACTTAAGGTCTTTGGCCAGAAAATAACCAAGTGAAGATGTCTGCATGAATAAACTGCTCATTTTGTATTGGCTGACTTCTTCCCGAGTTAATATCACAACAATAAATGACATATTGATGACGTACAACAATAGAATACACATCAATGTAATTTATTTAATGATATATTGTTGGTTAATGGGCTTATTATTTACAATATAGCCCTTTTTTTTAAGGACAAAAGTTGTCTAGATACCTGTGGTACATTTAATAAACTTGCCTATTTTGTTGTCATATATGCTGGTGTGTCGAGTTGCTTACATTACGGTAATAGTGTTCAAGAGACCTACAGTCCTTACCTTACATGAAACCTTTACCTTGTAGGGGTATCGACATATTAAAGTTGTCTAGCACTCAGGATGGAAGGAAACTCTAATGTGGTTTCCTTGTATAATATATAAGTTATATGATAGACAGTCTGGTGCTGGAGGTGCTGTGTGGTGAGGGGCTGCTTGGTAGAGACGTGCTGTGAGTAGCTTGTTGAAGGAGGTAGATGTGCAGGAGCTTCGTTAGAGAAGATGTTGCCTGTTGCTGGCCTCCTGGTTGAATGAAATGTTAACAGCGTGGAGCTTGCTGGAGGAGATGTTGCTTGTTCAGGAAAATGGGCAGAATGAGAATTGGTTGGTGAGGAAGCTCAGAGAAGGACATGCTCGCTGACGGGAGCGAGGACCGCCAGGCAGGCGGAGGAGAGGCGAGGGTCGCCAGGCAGCGGCAGAGGAGGAGGTGTTGCTTGTTCAAGAAGATTGGTCAGACTGAATCTCAAGGGAGAGACAGAGCTTATATACCCCGCAGCAGCCGCTATGAGTCATGGTGGGAAAACCCGAGAAGTAGCCGGTGAATAGTTTCGTTGCTAAGATACGGTAACATCTGGTTGGTTGCTAGGGAAGGCGGCACATTGGAATGTGATAGCAGGTGGTGGGCTGCTACGCAGTTAGTTTGTAGGGGAGACGTCCACTACAACCTTGTGGAGGTTACGTGATATGATGTGTCTAGCACTCAGGATGGATGGATGGAAACTCTAGGTGGTGGTTTTCTTATATAAAATATATTATATGAAAGACAGTCTGGTGCTGGAGATGCCGTGTGGTGAGGAGCTTGCTTGGAAGACACGTTCGGTGAGTAGCTTGTGAAGGAGGTAGATGTGCAGGAGCTTCGTTAGAGATGTTGCGTGTTGCTGTCCTCCAGGTTGAATGAGGGCCGGACAGCGAGGAGCTTGCTTGGAGGAGGTGTTGCGTGTTCGGGAACGTAGGCCAGAATGAATCTCAGTGGTCTATGTTTGTCTTCGGTACCCCCAAAATGTTCTACACTACTGAGGGTATACACAAACACTTGTTATCTTAAAAATAGGTTCTTATTCTCGTATGGGAGATATACAGAGGGACTAATAAGACAGAGCACTTTCACACCATAAGGACTGGTGGTCTCCACTCTTTGTATCACTGCGCGCTGGCATGTACAGATGATATGATATGATAATGATATATACATATGATAATTCATATACATAACATGGTGCATAATAAATGGAAATATTACATAGGATTAGTACATGTTCTGTAATACTTCACTATACATAATTAATAGAGTAATATATGAATACACAGCTTAAGGTACTACTTCGTGTCCATATTATACACCTCCCTCCCCCTATACGCTCATAGTTTCATCTTGAGCGGACCTTTTGTTTCTGAGTCGCTCGGACCTGCGGAGTACCGGGGCAGAAACACAAGGTGGGGATGGATTTACTGTAAAGACATCAACATTAGGGGACTCTACTGGGGAAGGGTCAACACTAGGCAGCTCCACAGGTCGGAGGAAATGACGGTTCCTCCACCATACTCTACCACTAGGAAGACGCACTTGGTAGTCCCTGGACCGGCCAATACCCATGACAACCCCAACCTTGTCCCAGCGGTGAGATACCGAATCTTGAAACCTGACCTGCTGGCCGATACTCAACCTGGGAAGGGGCGGGCATGACAGTCGTACCGAGCAGCGACAGCTGCGGCTCGTTCTGCTGCACGGCGGTCACATTCTTCAGTCTTGGCTTGCCATTCTTGAGAAAAAGACTTCGGGTGGGCAGGAACACAAGACCTGAGATGATGTCCATATAGATCCTGGGCTGGGGAGCGTCCGGTGAAGTTCGGGGTGTTGCGTAACTCCAACAAACCTCGATCGAAGTCCTCGCAGTCGATATTTCCTGAGGGTGACACCTTAAGGATCAGGTGTTTAACAGTCTTGACTGCGGCTTCGGCGTGTCCATTCGCCTGGGGGTAGTGGGGCAAGGTCACGACATGACGGACTCCCCAACAGTCCATGAAGTCCCGGAACTTGTGGCTGGTGAACAGGGGTCCTCCATCAGTCCTGAGGCGGAGGGGAACACCAACTTCTCTGAAGTAATGCCTGAAATTCCGGATAGTAGCAGTAGCCGTTGTATCACTACCACAGGGGACGACAACAGACCATCCAGACAATCGGTCGGCAATGACGAGGAAGGACTTCCCTGCCACTGCAAAGAAGTCGGCCGACACAGACTCGAAGGGTCTTGAAGGGTTATCGTCGTACATTAAAGGTTCCTGTTGCTGGCTGGGTTGCATAATCTGGCACGGCTCACAGGCACGGACGGTACTTGCAATGTCCGCGTCGATTCCGGGCCAAAATACAGTCTGCTTCGCCCGTCGCTTGGTGGCCTCCACTCCTCGATGGCTGTCGTGAAGGCGGGTCAAGGTACGGCGGCGTAGGGCAGCAGGAATAACTACTCGTGGACCATACAAGACGAGGTCTCCGTCACAATAGAGATCCTCGCGTATTTTCCAGTACGGGAGTAGCGATTCATGAAGGTCGTATCGGTTCGATGGAAATCCCTGAGACACACAGTCGACGAGCCGGATGTAGGAAGGGTCGGCCCGGGCTGCGGTGAGGAGATCTTCAAGGGTCTTGTCTGCATCCGGTTCTGTAGACTCTTCTGATGTGAAGACGGCCTTCAATGAAACTACTGACTTGAGGGATGCAGCAGCTGTAGAACACAACATCTCGTCCTCTGGGGTGGGGCGACTGACAGGGGCTCGGGACAGGGCATCCGGGATGCACAGCAGCTTACCCGCACGCCACACAGCCGTGAAGAGATAAGGCGAGAGCTTCTCTTTCAAACGTTGAAGGCGAGGATTCTCTACTGCGTCCAAAGAGTAGTGATTGATAATAGGTATAAGAGGGCGATGACCCGTGAAGAGAGTGAAGTGCTGAAGTCTATCAGGTAGAAGCGGCACTTCGCCATCGCCCAGACAACAGCCAACATCTCCAGCTCAATCGTGGCATATCGGGTCTCGGCGTCCGTCAGGAACCGGGATCCACACTGAATTAAGCGGAGTTGTCCACCGCCATGGTCCTGCAGAAGGGCGTAACCAACGCCGTAGAGTCTGGAGGCGTCAATCTGGAGGACGGTGGGTAGGGCTGGGTCGTAACAGGCGAGGACAGGTGGACTTAAGAGGGCCTGCTTGACTCGCTGGAAGGCCTCTTGATGATCTGGGGTCCACAGGAATGTCCTCCTGGGGCTCAGCAGGGGGCGTAACGGCTGGGCTGCGGCGGAGATGTCAGGTGAAAACTCAGCCAGCTGATTGACCAGACCCAAAAAAGAACGGAGGTCTGTCAGGTTGGCAGGGGTTGGAAAATACCTGATTCCACTTAATTTCTCCGGGTCAGCTGCGATACCTGATGCTGAGAGAGTGTACCCACAGAAGTTCACTGATGGTGCGGCGACTACAAACTTGTCAGCATTGAGAGTAATCCCGTACTTTCGACATCTGGTGAGAACTTCATATATTCGGGAGAGGTGGGCACATTAGTCTTCGTCATGGAGTAATATATGATCAACCACTTTGACATAATTCGTGACTCCTTGAAGGGCCGTGTTACCACGTTGACAGAATGCATCGCCCGTAGCGGCAAATCCCATGGGGCCTCTGCAATACTGATATCTTCCATATGGTGTGATGAATGTAGTCAAATGCTGGTCTTCTTCGGCCAACTCGATATGCCAATAACCACATAAGGCGTCCATCGTTGTAAAAAACTTCGCCTTCGGGTCCACATTTCGAACAGCTGCGAAGGGTGTGGGTGAAGGGTGGGCTGGACGGGAAACTTGCTGGTTAAGTTTTGATAGATCGGTGGTGATTCGTACTCCACCACGAGGTTTGGCGACGGGGACGAGAGGGTGGCACCAAGGTGAAGGTTCGTCTCCGGCCGGCTTGATGATTCCCTGAGCAACCATGGAGTCAAGCTCTTGTCTAACTAGCTCCTTGTAGGCGTGAGGAATCAAACGAGGGGTGTGGATGGCAAAAGGTGTGGCACCATCCTTAAGATGAATCTTCATAGATGGACCCACCATCGGCTTGAGTGGTGTGGATCCCAAAGATGTCTTCGTAACCAACACGTCAGCAAACTCCTTGAGAAGGTAAGCTCTTGCATCAGAAGGGGACGTGTTAGTAGAGATAGGGAGTTCCTTCAACCTGTTGACTTGGGTGACCTTTAAAATAGGTTTGGGGAATTCCTTGGAAATAATGGCCAACTCTTGACAATGGCCATATGATAAAAGCGGAGTCGGGATCCCATCATGAACATCAATCCGGGCTGAGCAAGACTGCTTACCAAAGGTAAGAGTAGCCCAGAAAGATCCCAAAGCTGGAGCCATCTTAGAACCATCAGCTGTCAGTTTCGTTGTCTGAGGAGGGGGCTGTAGGTTGCTCCTGGGTATTCCCAAACTTGCTAAGTGTTGTGGACCAATTACTGAGACGTCAGCACGGGTGAAGACTGGATGACAAGTTACCTTGAGAAATGACGACACTAAAGTGCTGGGGCGTCGTGTCTGTGGAACAATGTACACGACGGCAGGAACGACTGGACACAGCGTCTTGATGCTTGCCAGAAGGAGGGGGCGCGCCAGCACTTCCTGAGGATGACTTCTTGGATCCTAGGTGGTGTCCTCTCTGTGTCTTCTTACGACAACATTTGTCATAATGGCCCACACGACCACAAAGTCTGCACTGAACTTTGCTAGCAGGGCACTTGACTGTGTAAGCCCAGTGACCATGGCGGTCGCAACTTCTGCACACGTTTTGAGCAGCTGGGCACTGGGAGGCATCATGCTGTCTCATGCAGTTGTTACACAAAGCTGCTGCTGAAGGTGTAGCTGGAGGGTGAGGGGTGGGGTTACCTTGCTGCTTCTTACCCTTTCTGTAAGAAGGCACCGCCCTCACCTGGTCAGGTTGTGAACGTAAATCTGAAGTCACACACCTGGTGGCCTCGTAGGCTCGGCATTTTGTAACTACATCTTCAAGGGAGGAAGTGGGGTCAAGTGAAATGAGACGCTGAACTAGCTCTTCATCTCGAACACCCGTTAAAATAATTGTCTTGAGTTGTGTCTCTTCACAGACTTGAGAATTTCCAGGACAAACATCAACTTCCTCTGAACATCTCTTGAGTCTTACAAAAAATGCATCAAAAGATTCTCCATCAAGCTGCTTACATTGGAGGAGTTCTCTTCTTCTAAGCGCTTCGTTGTGCTGTCCGTTAACATGTTCCTGTAACTTGTCGAGAACGGCCTCAGAGTTGTCGTAGGAGGCACTTGAAGTGTGTGCTCGAGAGTAAGTTGTGTCTCTAAGGACAAGCACATATGAAGCTGTATCATCTGCTTAGGCTGTGGTAAACTTGACAGGTCAACCATTGTTGCATAGTCTTGCCAACGTCGACGCCATTCCCGAAATATCTGATAAGAAGCGTCAGACTTCAGAGAGGGAGGCGTTTGTGCTGCAGCCTTTTGAGGAATTGTTGAACCGACTCTGGGAAATGAGGTACCAGTACCTCTAGTCGTATCAGCATTAGTGGTAGCAGAGGAATCTTGTATGGTAGATCATTGTGGGGAGGCTAACAGGGAAATCAAGACTTCAAATCTGTCTTGATCCTCTCTTCTTCTCAGGTCATCCTCACTTCTACGTATATCTTCTAGTTCTCTGCGTCTTTGTTCCTCTTCGTGGCGTCGTCTTTCAGACTTTCTGTACCGAATTTCTTCCTCTTCTCTCTTTGCAACATAGTCCTGGCGTCGAGAAGTTTCCATCCACTTAATCAGTTGAAGGAGATCTGTGGACGCAGGCACCGCAGGAGAGCTTGCTCGCGACGAACGAGGAGATTCTGTGGGTGATTGGGCGTTGTCACTGTGGGGAGAGTGGGGCCTGAGTGTGGGTGAAGAGAGGTCTCCCAGACTTAAACTCATAACCCCATCGTCCAGGGTATCATTTTGATCCCTGTGAGACATGCCGACAGCTTCTGTACTCTATCTGTGCAAAGACCGGGTCAACCCCTCGTAATCTATGCACAGAATAGGTTCTTATTCTCGTACCGGAGATATACAGAGGGACTAATAAGACAGAGCAAGTGGATATCTTTTTTTTTTTTTTTTTTAGGAATATTACCTACGCGGACCTTAAGATAAAATGCTGGTCCACCCAATCTCAGTGGAGAGAATGCGAGCTTATATACACAGCAGCCGGAAGCAAACCCGTGGGAACTCGCCGGTTTCCTTGACTCCGTTGCTAGGCTAGACGTAGCAAGTGGCGATCCCTCCCCTCCCCCCAATGTTGCTAGGATATGGTAGCAGCTGGTGACGCCCCCCTGGGCAGCTTGTTTGGTTGCTAGGATACTGTCACATTGGAATGCGGATGTAGTTTGTAGAGATTCAGAGATCCACTACAACCTGGAGAGATTCAGAGATCCACTACAACCTTACATGAAGCCCTTACCTTACATGAAACCCTTACCTTACATGAAGCCTTTACCTTACATAATGAACTATTACCTTGAATGAAGCTCTTACCTTACATGAAATCCTTACCTTACATGAAGCCCTTATACCTTACATGATGCCCTTACCTTATATGAAACCCTTACCTTACATGAAACCCTTACCTTACATGAAGCCCTTACCTTACAATACTTGAATCCCTTACAATACATGAAACCCTTACCTTACATGAAGCCTTTACCTTACATAATGAACTTATACCTTGAATGAAGCTCTTACCTTACATGAAATCCTTACCTTACATGAAGCCCTTATACCTTACATGATGCCCTACACCTTACATGATGCCCTTACCTTACATGAAACCCTTACCTTACATGAAACCCTTACCTTACATGAAGCCCTTACCTTACAATACTTGAAGCCCTTACCTTACATGAAACCCTTACCTTACATGCAGCCCTTACCTTACATAAAGCCCTTACCTTACAATACATGAAGCCCTTACAATACATGAAACCCTTACCTTAAATAAAGTCCTTACCTTACAATATATGAAGCCCTTACCTTACAATACATGAAGCCTCTACCTTACATGAAGCCCTTACCTTACATGTAGCCCTTACCTGACATGAAGCCCTTACTTTACATGAAGCCCTCACCTTACATTATACATTAAGCCCTCACATAACATAAAACCCTTACCTTGCATGAAGCCCTTACCTTACATGAAGCCCTTACCTTACATGAAGCCCTTACCTTAAATGAAGCCCTTACCTTACATAAAGCCCTTACCTTACAATACATGAAACCCTTATCTTAAATGAAATCCTTACCTTGCATGAAGCCCTTACCTTACAATACATGAAGCCCTTACCTTACATGAAGCCCTTACCTTACATGTAGCCCTTACCTGACATGAATCCCTTACTGTACATGAAGCCCTCACCTTAAATGAAGCCCTTACCTTACATAAAGCCCTTACCTTACAATACATGAAGCCCTTACCTTACAACATTAGGCCCTTACCTTGCATGAAGCCCTTACCTTGCATGAAGCCCTTACCTTGCATGAAGCCCTTACCTTGCATGAAGCCTTACCTACAATACATGAAGCCCTCACCTTACATGAAACCCTTACCTTACATGAAACCCTTCCCTTACATGAAGCCCTTACCTTACATGAAGCCCTCACCTTACATGAAACCCTTCCCTTACATGAAGCCCTTACCTTACAATACATGAAGCCCTTACAATACATGAAACCCTTCCCTTACATGAAGCCCTTATACTTTACATGAAACCCTTCCCTTACATGAAGCCCTTATACTTTACATGAAGCCCTTCCCTTACATGAAGCCCTTATACTTTACATGAAACCCTTACCTTACATGAAACCCTCACCTTACATGAAGCCCTTCCCTTACATAAAGCCCTTACCATACATGAAGCCGTTACCTTATATGAAGCCCTTACCTTACATGAAGCTCTTTCCTTACATGAAACCTTTACCTTATATGAAGCTCTTACTTTACATGAAGCCCTTACCATACAGGAAGCTCTTACCTAACATGGCGGGGTGAGCCAGGACTCTGTGACGCACTGAAGCAGTTATCAGGATAAGTCTCTAATTTGAAACCTCTGGGCAAGGTCAGGTCGCCGCCACCACTTCTCAGGACAGGGTCGATGTCACCTAGACCCCTGAGCCCCGGGAACCGTAACTGACGCCTCGCACGTTTCTGAGGGAAGGGAAGAGGGGCAAAAGATGTTAGGCTATATATATTGTAGTCAGTGTCAGCATCAGTCATATGTGTGAGTTTCAGCGAATTTCGATAAGCGGTGATCAAATTATACCCTTGAGAACATTTTGACTTCAGAGCCCCTTGGAGGCCAAACTATACATTGGAACACAACCTACTCATACAGTATTGCAGAGGTTCCCAATTACTTTTGGCCATTACCCCAATTTTTCCAAAATCATTCTTAGCAACAAGCTCATTCCCCCTCAACATTTTGTTATTATTAGTTACACGCTAATGTGCAATAAATATAACTTTATTAGGTTGGACTTTCCTTTATTTTATAGAACAATAATGACATAAATGCAGTAATTACAATTACTCTTTCTGTTGGAAATAAATCAATTATTAATTTCAGGAGTGCAATGACACCTTCACTGCAATTGAAATAAATAAAACAATAATTGTAAAGTACAATAAGTACAAATACTCTCTGAAATAAATAAATCAAATAATAATAGCAGGCCTACAGTGAACCCAAGCTCCAGAAAAGCGTCGGAATACACACTCTTTCTTGAGGACATCTGTAAAAAGAAGTACAGACTTACAGACAGACAAACATATGATGGAGAGAGGGAAAAATAAAAGGGAAATAAAATAACACATACGAATATATGTTCAAATTTCATCACAACAAACATAATAAATTCGCTTGTACAAATCAGAACATAACTTCTATGCTCGCACATAAAATTCAACCCACTTTCCCAATTATTCATCTACAGATATATGAACAAGGTAACAGTCAGAGACGAATTATAAAACAAACGAGAATACTGACCTATACAGAAAGGAGCGAGGGAAAACATGCGAGAGAGAGAGAGAGAGAGAGAGAGAGAGAGAGAGAGGAAAATAATGAAATACAAGAGCAAAATGCGATTATATGTATATTGGTTTATTCTGAACTATAAATGGAATGAGACAAAAGTACAGTAAAAGCAACAGAAAAGTTACTTCTTGAGTAAATATAGAATTACGTAAAATATCGTCAAATAAAAGCCAAATTTACCTTTTTTGCTCAAAAATGCCAGAGACTTTCATGTACGTCCGTCTTCCACTGACTTCTGACAAGTTATGAAAAAAAAAACGTTACGTTTCTCTATTTCTTGCCCCGCCCTCCGTCATACCACCCCACCCCCTCCCTTCTCTGAGGCGACGAAAATTGCTAGAATGTATGAACCATGGGACTACTGAGTCTAAATGGATCCAAACTACAGCTACACATATGAAGATGTTTGGACTAGACCACCTGTACAAAGTTGAGACACAACAGCGCTTCCTGCCACCCTGGCGGACAGTTCCCTTCGATATCACAATACCGACGTATCCGCCTAAAAAATTAATTATACAAAGCATTTATTTCCAACACACTGCCAAATTGAGAGCTCTTGAACACATACACACTCTACAGACTGATGATAATATCACACAGACCATCTACACTGATGGATCTCTTAACACCGCCTGTGGGAGGGCTGGAAGTGCCATACTCACAGCTATTAAATTCATTGAAACCACTGTTACTGACAGTCTCATCATCACTGACTCTCTATCCTCACTACTTGCCCTTGGCACCCTCGACTCAGGTTGTCACGCTCTTGTCTCTGAAGCCAGACACAAATATGCGTGCCTTGTTGACCGGGGTGTCAAGGTCAAACTGTTGTGGATCCCCTCTCACATAGGCCTCATAAAACATGACAGAGTTGATGCCCTCGCCAAACTCGCGTCTAACAGAGACACCGTTGAATGCAATTTGGGTCTGTCAAAAAGAACCCTTAAAACTGTAATTAGGAAAGAACTTATTGATGAGTTTGACGCAAGTAGATAAGTGCAAACAGGCACTAGTCGATCCATAGGTTACCATGATGAGATGTATCAAGTGAAACATGTATGTGGAGCAAGTAATAAGATCACTAGATTACAAGATGTTGTAACCGCTAGATTAAGGTTAGGATATAAGTACCTTTGGCAGTATGTTCCTCAAGCAGATGTAAACAAGACTAAATGTAAAGTGTGTGGCCATACATATGGCCACACACTTGAACACTACGTCCTCGACTGTGTGAAGATAGAACCTTTTAGGGACAGGCCCAAGCACACTGTGTGTGAAATGGCACAACACTTCATCTCTAATGGCAAGATAGCCGACATATTAAGATTGTATCCACTTTTTGCACTTAGTAACTATATCAATTCTCATGTACAGAACCAAATACGCAATGTGCTTGAATACCTCTCACGTAAATGTGAATAACAAAGTGTGAGGCCAGACATACTGCCTCACACGCCTGTACTCACGCATTTGTGAATAAGTTACCCTTTATGTATAGAACTAAACAAATAATGTAAATGAAATACTGTGTAACATTCAGTGCCATAATATCCTAACAACGGGGGTTAATTATTATGACCCTTTGTAAACTCTACTCTGTAATCCTTTTGCGCTACCGCTCACAGGATGAGTGTGGGGTGCACAATAAAGTAGCCGCTGTAAGCGGCAAAATCAAAAATCAATCTGAGGCGACGGATTGGCGGTGAGTGATACTGGACATACGCGGAGATTTAAATCATTGTTAATAATGATACATTTGAATATTTGTGTGTCTGTATTTAATGTTTTTCCTTTCACCTAAACTTTCCTAAAGGCTGTCGTTACCCCCGTTGAATGCGAAATTACCCCCAGTGGGGTAATTTACCCCTATTTGGGAATCGCTGCCTGAGTATTGGGAACTGCCTGACACGATACAATATTTCAAGTAAAAGGCGTAATGCATCGAACAAATCCAGAGTTAAATGTTGAATATAATATCAAGTACTGTAAATGTGTACCAGATTTGAAGACGATTCATGATAATTATAGGAGAAAATATTTAAATTTTTATCCGAGCTCGTTTTTCTGTATTATATTTACCGAAGTTACATAATCTCTCCCCTAGATGGCTATGTGTTTGTTTAAAGCTAACCAAAATGGCGGCCGCCTATCTTACTGTGTGCGAAACATGAGGCTTTAATACCGGGGAAAACCCATTGAGAAAGATGCCTTAGGCGCACAATGTTGGTGATCTAGTAGACAAATTTAATTATTAGTAAATGAAAAGCAATGCAATATTGAGGATTTTGATAAGAATTTCAATTTATTAATTTTATTATTTTTTCTTAGTTGAAGATTTTATATATATATATATATATATATATATATATATATATATATATATATATATATATATATATATATATATATATATATATATATATATATGTTGATAACCACAAGGAAAGAAGAAAACACGAAGTTCTCAAGCGCTTTCGTGTAATTCACGTCTTCAGGGGTGAGTACAGTGAATCTCTCCTCTTAACAACTTGACAATGATACCTTGTGTGCCCTCGGCTATGGTTTAAATTTTGATGGTTCTAACAAGGGAGTCGACAGTGTTGACATAGCCAGAGCATTTTGCAATTTGGAGAAATTCAGTAAATTGACAAGTGAAGAAGTGAACATGTGTAAAGGTGTTGTGTATGCATCTATGTCCAAGCCTTGTGTTCGAAACTGTCCAGAAAGATTCACCAAAGCAATCCAAGCCCTTAAGAAAAATAAGGTTCTACATGTCACTAAAGCAGATAAAGCCAACAAAGTAGTGGTTTTAAACAAAGATGATTATATTTCTAAAATAAATGACCTTTTATGTGATGCTGCAACATATTCTAACCTCATAAATAATCCTCTCAACACAGTTAACGCCCAGTTCAACAAAAAACTTAAGTCTCTATTGAGAGGCAAAGCTACCACCTCACTCTCAAGATTGGAACTCTTATAATGCTCTTTAAGAAATCTTGAACCTAGCGAAAGAGCCTCCCGGAGGGCATTCCAGCGGGCTCCAAAGAATTAAGGAATTCTGCATGGTACTGGACTTCTTGGTCCTGGTCGATTACTGTATCAACAGATTTGAATGAGATCTCACGGCCTGGAAGCTGTCTGAGTAGAGTCATGTTGATTTCAGCCACTGTTTCATTCTTTGGTGCCAGAATTGCGCGTTCACGCAGCCACTTGTGATCCTTGTAGTGGTGGATAATGTTTGGGTAGACCATGTTAGAGAGCTCAGTTGAGGACTTTACAACATTTCCACATCCTTTTCAACCTCTGTGTGGTTTAACGGGTCGGGTCGGGTTGGGTGTGTCGGATCGGGTTGGTTGGGTTTTTTTTGAGATCCCCACATGACATTTGCTATCCATACCAAGTTTGGTCCGGGCGGCTCATTCGCTAGGCCACGGTAGGACGCCACCCTCTGGGAGGCTTCACATTGTCTCACTGTTCAGTCCCTAAAAACTTCTTCTTCCATCAATAGTTCATTAACGGTGTATGTAAGTTCCACTACAGCGGTACAGCAAAGTATATTTTTTTAGCATTAAACTGTTATTATTTTATTGTCTAATCATCACTACATATAACACCACCCATCATCACTACATATAACATCATCCATCATCACTACATATAATAACATCCATCATCACTACATATAACACAACACCATCCATCATCACTACATATAACACCACCCAACATCACTACATATAACAACATCCATCATCACTACATATAACATCATCCATCATCACTACATATAACACCATCCATCATCACTACATATAACACCATCCATCATTACTACAGATCGGTAAAGTAGTTTCCGAGAATCTCGTGCGGAGACTTTACAACATTTCCACATCTTTTTCAACCTCTGTGTGGTTCAACTGGTCGAGTTGGGTTGGGTGTGTCGGATGGGGTTGGTTGGAGTTTTTTTGAGATCCCCACATGACACTTGCTATCCATGCCAATTTTGCTCTGAGCGGCTCATTCGCTAGGCCACGGTAGGACGCCACCCTCTGGGAGGCTCCACATTGTCTCACTGTTCAGTCCTCAAAACTTCTTCTTCCATCATTAGTTCATTAACGGTGTATGTAAGTTCCACTACAACGGTACAGCAAAGTATATGTAACTCCAACCATCATCACTACATATAACATCATCCATCATCACTACATATAACATCATCCATCATCACTACATATAACATCATCCATCATCACCACATATAACATCATCCATCTTCACTACATATAACACCATCCATCATCACTACATATAACACCATCCATCATCACTACATATAACACCACCCATCATCACTACAGATCGGTAAAGTAGTTTCCGA